GTTAACTTCTGAATGGAGATATCTTTTGTTTATGCTGTTGACATCTGTCTAATGTGGTCAGGGCAAATTTATTCTGTAAATGATGCGCGATATTTTGACTGGCCTGAAGGTTTAAGGCAATATATAGACACTGTTAGACAAGGAAAAGGTAGATATCCGAAGAAGTACTCTGCCAGGTATATATGTTCTCTGGTGGCTGATCTCCACAGAACTTTGTTGTATGGTGGTGTGGTAATGAACCCAAGGGACCATCTTCGTCTTGTTTATGAAGCAAACCCTCTTAGTTTCATTGTAGAGCAGGCGGGTGGGAGAGGGTCTGATGGCAAACACAGGATTCTTTCACTTCAACCATATAAACTTCATCAAAGGCTTCCTCTCTTTATGGGGAGCTTGGAAGACATGGAAGAGTTAGAAAGTTATAGGGATATCCAACAAAAAGTTAATCCTGGTTATGAAGTTTGATGCTTTGTATATAGCATCATGCATGCAAATTTTGAATATTCAACCATCATGTTCACTGACCAAGTGACTATATTTCATTGGTCTTCACTTGTTGCATGTACTGCGTTATCCATCATCTGTGTTAATGCAACTTTAATTCTCTGATCATACTAGTGCTTTGATGTGTTCTTCAATTTTTCCCTGATGAATGTTTGTATTCAGGTATGATCAATCTTAAAAATTATTTTAGTCAAGTTCAGGAGTCAGGTGGACCATGTTACATTTGAATAATAACTTTTGGACCACTACACTCTTGAGTAGGTAGGGTTCCTTTTTTTACACAACATTCTTTTGGTATCAAATTACCAAACCAACCACCTTCTTCTACTCCCTTTCATATAATAAACAAAGGGTTAATATCCTTGAGATCATGTTTCAAAACATTATTATAAGAGGATATTCATGGCATATCCATACACAGTTAACAAAAATCAAGATAAAAGATAATTTTATCAAGAATAACAAATAATTAGGGATCAAGTTGTGTCCAAAAAGTGTTGTGTCTTATATATGAGTTATTTAAATATTTAAAGATTTGGTGATATGGTGATATGGATCATCTTCTAGGGTATTTGGAAAGAAAGAAACTATATGATACTCAGAGATGTGAAAGTCTGATATAGGAAACTACTGTTATCACTTTATCATGGATGTGGTTAACATAACTAGCAGGAATATGGGATATAGAATTTTCTTCCATTGTATCAGTTTTTCTTTTCTTTTGCATATTATATCCTTCTTTGTTTAATGTCTATATTATTCCAATATTTTCAATTAATGGGTAATTTACATTTGTTTTGCTGATTAAAAAAAATGTTAATATCTTAATAATTAATATATATATATATATATATATATATATATATGAATTGTTTTTTTATAAAATATTTGGATTATTTTTTATTATAATACAATTTAAAATGTAATAGAACGATGGTAATAATAATTTGTTAAAATAAATGTTAAATTTTAATTTAAAATAACATATTTTAGAAGTAGAAGGATTAAATTAATCGTACTAACATAAAAATAAATTTGACAGGAAATTATAAATGAAAAAAAAATATTTATCTATAAGAATTATGTTAAAAAATAAATTTAAAATTCAAACACATAATAAATAAAAAGCATTACATGTAATGAGTTCAATTATAAATAAAATAACTATTTATTTCAAATTTATTAACAAAAGAGTTGATTACGGAACTAATTTATTTACCTAAATAATTTAACTAGTAATTTTTTTTATTTTGAAATTACTTTAATAAACTCAATTGTATAAGAAATTCTTACTTTATTTTTTTATTAATAATATATATATATATATATATATATATATATATATATATATATATATATATATATATATATATATATATATATATATATATAAGTAAGCTTCTCAAATCAAATGTTTCTATACTAACTGTTAAAACTTAAAAATGTCATAAATGATGTAAATTATAATCATTTTCAAAAATACAATATTAAAATAAAACATTTTTTTATTTTCAAAAATTACATAACTCCATTTGAAACAAATTCTGTGTAGCTTCCATTCATGAAAAAGATATACGCACCTTCCAAAATTTTAATTCTGACAAAGATTTTACTTAAAAAATATTTTGATAAATATTTTTTACTAATATTTATAATAAAAGTTATATTGTTATACTAAATTCATAGATTAATATATAATAGTATGAGTTTAAATAATACTTAAAATTTATTATTATCATTGTTATATTATACTTACTATTAATTTACATATATTTTAATAATAATAAATAAATATAAAATATTAATATTAAATTTTAATTTGGCAACTTAAATTATTAATTATTACAATTAATTTAAATAATTTTAATAACAAATTAATAAATTTAAAATATTAATATAGTTTAATTCAATAATTTAAATTATTAATTACAAATCTAAAATTATATTAAAAATAAAAATAAAAATAAAAATAAAATTATTATTATTATCATTATTATTGTTAATTATAAAAAAAACTGCAATGGACTATTCTTAACTTGAAAGTTGAATCATTATTTTTAACAAAATCAGTATTAATTACAAAATTATTATATAATATATTACATTTACAAATACTATTATAATATATTGATAAGTATATTAGAAACTTCAGTTTATTATTATTACTAATAAATATAACATTATTATAAAAAATTATTGCCAAAATTTTATTTATGATTCTTAAATTATTTGTTTTATTAGTACTAATTAATTGCATTTGTTGAAAAGATTCGAATGTTTTATTTTTTTATCAATAAATATATAAAATAATTATAAAAACTAAATTTGTTATTATCTATTTAAATAATTTTGATTAATATTAATTTTGTATTTTATATAAATATTTAAATTATATTAAATCATTTTATTAAAATAACATTTTTGAAGTCTATTTTTTAAGGTAAAATTAAGTATATTTTAAGTAAATTTATTTATTTGTTGTATCTTATTTTTCTAATTTAGGGGGTTTACAACATGTATAGATGACTCATGAATAATAGCACAGAACTAAAAAAAAGGATTTTTATAAAATACTGTTTTTTTTTCTAATGAATGATGTTAAAGTTATATATATTTTACCTTTAGGTATTATTTACTATTTTTTTTATCTCATTTACTGTGTAAGTTAAGCTTTTTAACGTGATTATTTTTAATATTAATTATTTATATTTATATTTTACGTCATATACAATTTAATTGAATTGTTGCTAATGACTTTATTTCAAAATTAATACATAAAATTCAATTATTATTAACTATGCATTACAATTTTTTTTAAATTAATCATAATATATTTGTCTAATATAATAATTTGAATATAACATTACAATTATTATTAATAATTAAAATGACTAAATTAACAATAAAATTTTACATTTTACATTATAAATTAAACATTAATATAAATTAACAATAATTATTTTTAATAATAATAATAATTTTATTTATTATTTAATTATAAAATATTACTGATGTATTTTTACATTACCATATATAGTTTTTTTGTAAATGTAATATATTATATTATTAATTATTAATAATAATAATTTAAATTCATAATAGTAATAATAATAATTATCAAAGAAATTTTAAATTAATATTAAAAATTTACTGATTCATAAATTTTAACATAACATCAATATTTTATTAGTAAATTAAATTATTAAATTAATAATTAAAGTTTAACATATTAATTTTAATACAAATATTATAAATTAATAATAATAATAATAATAATAATTATTATTATTATTATTATTTTAATATAATAATTAATATTTATTTTATAAAAATTATATTTATATCTTATATAAATTTTTTTAAGTTGTAAAATAATTTTTTTTTAATTTTAAAACTGTATTTCTTTTAATAAAAAAATCACGTTTTATTAAGATGAACAGTACAAATAATAGAATTAAGCAACCCAGATTCATGTAGTATTATATAAATAATGTGACAAAAGATTTATATTTTTAATCTTTGAATTTTTTTCCCGATAAATGATAAATAGATGTATTTTTGTCCATATATTTTATATTATTTATATAATTAAAAAGTAGTTATTAAAAGAGTATTTTTAAAAAATAAGTTATCAAATAATAGATTGGAACGGTTGTTATAATATTAGTACGACAAAAAATAAATTATAAAAATATATACACAACAAAATAATCTAAAAAAATAGTCCCATTATATAATTACATATATTATCAATAAAATTAATAAAATGAAATAAAAATCAATCCATTATTTTTAAATAATTAAAATATTAATAAAATAAAAAAAGTAATAAAATATTTAGATCTAACTAATTTAATAAAAAAATTAATTTAATTTTTTTAATATAATTTTTTTATAAAAAATATAATATATTTTGTTACATTAACTTTAAATAATAATTTTTTTATTATATTTTTATTTTAATAATTATTCATCTTATATTCTTAAATATATTTTATATTTATATAATATTATAATAAATTTTATTATTTTATTTTTTTATAAAAAATATTAATATTAATAAATTTATTATATTATAAAAATATTATTTTATTAAATACAATTTAATTTTATTTAAATCTTAAATTCATGTCTAACTCAATTTTAAAAATATTATATATTAAAGATAAAATCTTCATAAATTATTTTAATAAGTAAAGGCATAAGAAAAAGAATGTAGAATCCGATCTGGTATATTCTTCCTTCCCAAACCAAAGTCAAAATTACTCCTCTCTCTACAGCTGTCATGTGTAAGGGCAATAAAACAAAATTATTAATTAATAAATAATCAATACGAGAGATGAAAAAATAAATATGGATAGATAATTACTTATTAGTGTTTAATAGTTTATTTATATTTAATTATTCAAGTATTATCATTAATAAGTTCAGGAGAAATTATAAACAGTTATGGGGAGAAGTAGAAGCAAGTTCCTCTGAAACAAAAGTTACACTTGGAAATGATGATGGCTGATTCAAACCCCTCCACCTTATACTCCAAATTCTTTCGGACTCATGTCACCTTTCGTCTCCTCTGTCACGCCTCCCGCGTCGGCGCCATCATAGGCAAGTCTGGTGTTCTCATCAAGACACTCCAGGAGGCCACTGCCGCCAAGATCCGAATTGAGGACGCTCCGCCCGAATCCCCTGACCGAGTCATCCTCGTAACTGCCTCTGCCACCACCTCTGCTGCTGGCGAGGTCTCCAAAGCGCAGGAGGCGCTGCTCAAGGTCTTTGACCGGGTTCTCGATGTTGCCGCCGAGACTGCGGGCACGGAGGTCGGCGACCGCGTTGTCTCTTGCCGCTTGGTGGCAGATACATCGCAGGTTGGCGCTATAATCGGCAAGGCCGGGAAGGTCGTTGAGAAGATCAGAAGTGACACCGGATGTAAGATTAGGGTTTTGAGCGATGGTTTGCCTGCATGCACTTCTCCCTCAGATGAAATAGTTGAGGTCAGATGGTTGGTTTGTTTGTTTGTTTTTCGTTGTTGGATTGGATTTTGAAGTTGAAATTGAATAGTTGAACTGTTCTGCTGAAGAATTATTAGTGATTTATTTAATGGAGGCGAGTCTAACCTGTCTTATATTCTAGTTGAATGTATGGAATGGCTGTTGAACTTCTACAAATATTAATAATGTCAATCTATATGTAGAACTACTCACATTTTAGTAAATAAAGTTAATGAGGAAGGATTTGTGTAGAAATACCCTTCCTAATGAATTTTATGAGAAAAGGAAAAAATACTGGAATGTTAAAGACTATATTGGATTTGATAAATTTGATTTTCAATAATGGAAGTATAACAAAGTATATGTGGATGTTTTCCAACAATATCATTGTTAGTGTTTCCACGTTTCCAAGTTCAGTTACATTAGTTTTGAATAAGTCCACCTCAGTTTTAGGAAGTAGTGCGCGGCGCATAAGTAGTTTATTTAACAGTTTTTTATTTATCTGATGTAAGGCTATAAAGTAGCCAAACTTATTCTTCAATCATATAGAATGCAATTTGCTTATTCTGCATTTTTATCTTTACGTACGATTACAACATTCTGGTATAAAGCTCTATTCCGGGACCTGATCACTATAGTAGAAGTTGCAGTCTTCTAACTATCACACAGAATGGCATCAGAAAACTTATTTGTGCAGCCTGCCATACCAAAATTTGATGGGCATTACGACCACGGGGCTATGCTGATGGAGAACTTCTTGAGATCCAAGGAGTACTGGGGGCAGGTGTAACATGGCATCCCAGATCAGGCAGCAGACACACCTCTTACCGAAGTACGAGGAAACATGTTGAAGATTAGAAATTAAAGGATTTGAAGGCAAAAAATTACCTATTTCAGGCGCTGGATCGTTCAGTTTTGGAAACAATCCTCAACAAGGATACCGCAAAGGATATATGGGACTCATTGAAGCAGAAGTACCACGGGTCAAGAGAGCACAATTACAAGCTCTCCAAAGAGAATTTGAAATTCTCCACATAAGCAGGGAGAATCTGTTAATGATTATTTTGCCCAGACACTCACCATCGCAAACAAGATGAAGGCTAATGGTGAAAACAAATGTGATGTTGCAGTTATTGTGAAAATCCTAAGATCCATGACTCCTAAATTCGATTATGTTGTGTGTTCCATTGAGGAATCTAAGGATACCGAGATGCTGACGGTTGACGAACTATAAAGTAGTCTCCTTTTACATGAACTCCGGATGTCATCTCATGTGGAAGAAGAACAGGCGTGCAAGTTTCCCATGCAACCCAAGGCCGCACACATGGAGGGCGTGGAGGAAGTTTTGGACGACGCAAAAGAGGACGAGGCCGTGGGCAAGGTCGACAAAGTTTTGACAAATTCATGGTGGAATGCTACACGTGCAATCAACTTGGACATTTTAGTTGGGAGTGTTCAACCCAACGAAGAGAAGCCAACTATGTCGAGAATGATGAAGAAATGTTGCTGATGGCTCACACAGAGACAACCAAAACAAACGAAGATACTGTGTGGTTTCTTGATTCTAGATGCAGTAATCACATGTGTGGGAGGAAGGAATACTTCTTTGATCTTGATGAACATTACAAAGACACAGTCAAACTAGGCAATAACTCTAGTATGGCTATGACGGGAAAAGGCAACGTTCGACTCCACATGCATGGCAACACCTATATGGTTACCAGTGTCTTCTTCGTGCTAGACTTAAGAAACAACCTACTCAGTCTCGGGAAATTACAAGAAAAGGGCCTCAACATGCTCTTCCAACACGGCAAGTGCAAAGTGTATCATCCAAAAAATGGTTTACTCATGGAAACCCACATGTCTTCTAATCGAATGTTTCTACTGCATGCCATACCTTCCCCTACCAAAACCACTTGCCTCCACACAGCTGCAGAGGACAACATGCATCTTTGGTATTGTCAATATGGTCATTTAAATTTTCGGGGTCTAAACACATTTTGTCAGCAGAATATGGTACATGGTTTACCACCAATCAAGGCATCTACCAAACTGTGCAAGAACTGTTTAATTGGGAAGCAGTCATGTGATTCATTCCCAAAAAAAAGTACTTGGCAGGCTACATAGATTCTGCAATTAATTTATGCAGATATTTGTGGACCAATTGCACCTATCTCCAATAGCAAAAAGAGGTAGTTGCTCACCTTCATTGACGACTTTAGCAGGAAAACTTGGATCTACTTCTTGATCGAAAAGTCATAAGCTTTTTTGGTCTTCAAGAATTTTAAAGTTCATGTTGAAAAAGAAGCTGACTCCTCCATCAAAGGACTACACACTGATTGTGGTGGAGAAATTACCTCTCAAGTCAAGACTTCACCAAATTTTGTTTTGACAATGCTATTCGTAGACAACTGGCAGCTGCATACACTCCTCAACAAAATGGGATCACAAAACGCAAGAATCGGACCATTATGAACATGGTTTGAAGCATGCTATCAAAGAAAAAGATGCCCAAAACTTTTTGGGCTGAAGCTACTGCCTAGTCTGTACATATCTTAAATCGAAGTCTGACATTAGCAGTGAAGAATCAAACGCCCCAAGAAGCCTGAAGTGGAGTCAAACCTTCAGTCAAGTATTTTCGTATGTTTGGCTGCCTTTCACATGTTCATGTACCAGATGCTACACATACTAAGTTAGATGATAAAAGTCAAAGTTGTGTTTTGTTGGGAGTCAGTGAAGTCTCAAAGGCTTACAAATTGTATAATTCGATTTCGAAAAAAAGTATTGTCAGCAGAGACATTGTCTTTGTTGAAGATAAAAGTTGGGATTGGGATAAACAATATGTCGCAACCATCTCATGTGATTTAGAATGGGGAGATAAAGAAGATGTTGTTGAAGAACACGAGGATGAGGTTGAAGACACAACACCAGATGCAACACAACAGGTACATCATGATCTTGATAATGAGCATAATATTCCCTCTGATTCTTTGACAACAGCGCGTTGCAACGATCTCGAAGACCACCTCTCTGGATGGCAGACTACGAAACTGGTGCAGAATTTTTTGAAGACAGTCTAGAAGCAAATATGGTTCTATCTACAGCCGGTGACAATGATCTCACACACTTTGATGTTGTCGTACAAATTTCAAAATGGAGGAAAGCCATGGATGAGGAGATGGAAGCAATAAACAGAAATGACACATGAGAATTGGTGGACTTACCTGACGGTGTCAAGAAGGTTGGTGTAAAGTGGATTTATAAAACCAAATTCAAAGAGAATGGTGAAGTGGATAAATATAAAGTCAGGCTTGTAGTAAAGGAGTATGCACAAGAGTATGGGGTAGACTACACTGAAGTATTTGCACCAGTAGCTCGCATGGGGACCATTCGCTTGGTAGTAGCACTTGCAGCTTAAAAGGGATGGACATTCTATGAGCTAGATGTGAAGTCCGCGTTCTTATATGGAGAACTAGATGAAACCGTGTATGTAGACCAACCTTGTGGTTCTGAACAAAAAGGGGTTGAACATAAAGTGTACAAGTTGAAGAAAGCTCTTTACATACTTAAGCAAGCCCCACATGCTTGGCATAGCTGCATAGAAGCATATTTTTTGAAGGAAGGATTTGAGAAGTGCGACTACGAGTATACTCTATTTGTGAAGAAAGCAAAAGAAGGTATAATATTAATTGTTAGTCTACATGTTGATGACCTTATCTTTACTGGCAATGATGAGTTGATGTTTGCAAATTTCAAAAGTTCCATGGAACATGAATTTGCCATGACAAATCTTGGTAAAATGAGATATTTTTTTGGGTCTTGAAGTTATGCAACGAACAAATGGCATTTTCTTATGTTAAAAGAAACATGTATTAGCAATACTACAACGGTTTGGAATGGATAAAAGCAATCTAGTTCAAAACCCAATTGTTCCTGGTGCTAAACTCTCAAAGGACGATCCTGGTGTTAAGGTGGATAAGACTTACTACAAATAAATTGTGGGAAGTCTTATGTATTTAACCTCCACTCGAATGTTTGTGATAAGCTTAATTAGCAGCTACATTTACTTGTAGCTAAAAGAGTGCTGAGATATTTAAAAGGAACAATTGAGCTTGGTATTTTCTACAAAAAGGGAGGAAACAATGAACTTCTTGCTTATACTCATAGTGATTGTGCAGGGGATTTGGGGAAAAGCACTTCAGGTTATGTGATATTATGTTCAGCCACTCTTTCTTGGTCATCAAAGAAACAACCAATTAGGAGTCTATCAACTACTGAGGCAAAATTTCTAGGTGCAGCATCATGTGCGTGTCAAGCTGTTTGGTTGAAAAGGGTGTTGGAATATTGTGTAGAATGCAAAGCCAAACCACTGTAATGCATTGTGATAGTAGCTCTGCTATTAAGTTGTCAAAGAATCCAGTAATGCATGGTCATTGTAAACATATTGATATCCGATTTCATTTCCTTCGAAACCTTATAAAGACTGGAACTATCAAGATGATAAATTGTGGGACACAAGAACAAGGGGCTGATATTATAACCAAACCTCTCAAACTAGATACCTTTTTAACACTACGAAGGTCACTAGGAGTATGTGCTGAATCTGATATAAACTGATTGCTACCATTCAGTTTAAGGGAGGATTTGTTAGTGTTTCCCCGTTTCCAAGTTCAGTTACATTAGTTTTGAATAAGTCCACCTCAGTTTTATGAAGTAGTGTGCCTTACGTGCATAAGTAGTTTATTTATCTGATGTAAGGCTATAAAGTAGCCAAACATATTCTTCAATCATATAGAGTGCAATTTGCTCATTCCGCACTTTTATCTTTACGTACGGTTACAACAATCATGAAGCAAAGCAGATGGTGATTTAATAAGTCAACAATTAGCTGTCACTTAATTTCTTGTTTGTATAGGTCTTTTACGCATGTGATCTTGTTATATGTTAGCAATGGTATGTTGGCCATCCTCATGAGTCAATTTTTCACTTTAGAACTTTTTTAAAATAGACAGAATCATTGGTTGAAGGGAAGGTTGTGCTGTTAGTCTGAAGCCCTATGAAGCTTAGATACTCCAAAAATGCAGAAGTAATGCTGTGTACCAATTATCTGATATTGATACATACCCCATGGGCATAGACATGAGTTTTAGTATGATATCATGGACTGAATAACTCTTATGAACTATCTGTCCAGACAAGTAAGTAAGTGGAGCCTGTAGCTAAATAAAATAGTAACTACTGTAGTTATTAATTGTTAAAAGAAATCAACTGTCTTCTGTTAAAAATGGATCATCTCTCTTCCAAATATGAGTTAAGACTTGTCATTCTTAAATTAAAACTTCTTTTGAATTGGATTAATGATGTATTTTGTGATATTCTAACTTGAGCAGGGAAATTATATATTGTGACATTTTTGTATTAAAAAAAATATAATTTCATAATGTATGTATCTGTTAGATATAATAATCACTAGTATCCTTTTGGTAAATTGTGATCATCATCTATTGACTATTGACATGTTTATGTATTAATGAGCAATTAGTAATGTGAATGTCTTTTAAGTATATAATTTTTTGTCAGATACATTGGCTGGGTATATTGATTTCTATATATGTATTGTATCTTATTCATATCTGAATATGTATCTGAAATTCCTACTGTCCCCCATCCCATGCTAACCCACTGTTCTGGGCCTTCACTTTGTTGTTCATGAATTGACTGTAGAAGCAGTTCCTTTTAATATCTAATGAATTTTCTACACCACTCAGAACTCAATTAAAACAGTCCATTAATATTATCATCATAATGAGATAGATTATCGTTAAATATTTATGATAGGTAAAATCAAGATCTTTTATGTTCAAAGGATTTACCATTTTTGGCACCCCCAATGATTTGATCAGCTTTGGGAACTCATTTGTGTGAGGTTGATAAGATCTTATTATCTTATTCATAAATTCAATGCAATTGCATGACATTATATTTTAAAATAAATTTACAGCCACCCTTTTCTGAAGATCCATTCATCAAAACATAGAGACTTCACAAATATGATTCATTTTGGGTTGTCTTTATATTTTCTGCCCTTCTGATCTGCACCTTTTCTGATTTTCACTGTCCTTGTTTCAATTGATTTGGTTCTGTTTTGCAACAGATCCTTTGAAATATAATCATTTTTTGTATTTTTTTAACTGAATTTTTTTTCCTGTCCTCTTTCTGTATCTTTTTTATTATGTATAAATAACTAAGAAATAGATTGAAATATTACTATCAAATATAAAAAAGATAGAAATATTAATTATATAACAATAACTAAAAAACAAAAACTAAATTCTTATTTGAATTTTAATGATATTATAGTATGTTTTAGTTAATTATATTATCGTATTTTGATGTTAAAATATACTTTCCTATTTCAGTAGGTTCTTATGGTGGGAGACTGTGTTACTACACATGATTTACAATATTGCATTCCACATACAATCTTTTAGGTAGAATCTTGATTCTGACTTCCCTGTTTACCCCCTCCAGTTAGTTTAGATGTTTCAGTAATCATGATAAGAGATTCTTTCCTTTGACAAAGTCATCACCAAATAGTCTACTTCCACTTTTATAAATTTCTACTTCTGTAAAGTGGCAACACAAGTTAAAATTTTTTGTTGCACGTCTTTACTTGACACTAATCTCTTGATGCAAGTATGCAACCCATTGGTTACCTCCAAATCATATTCCATTTCCGGATTGAAATAATAGAATTCTAGGTTTAAAAAGTGACCTGCTGCATGCAATGAGTAATGAAGTTGACATGTCCATCTATTATCAATGATTGTAAATACATCCTTTTATTTACTTGCATTTTAAATGTCTTGAAAGCCCTTTAATATAACAAGATTGAATGACAAGCCTGTTTGGTAAAAAAAGAGCAATATAGTGTAAATGTTTTAGTTTTTTCCTTTTTTTTCTTTAGGATTCTTACAAAACACATCCATCGGTCCTTTTTTTGATATCATTCTTTCTTGTTACCAATAGCTACATTATCAATAAAATTTACTGAAGTAGCTACCTTCTTCCTAAATAATTTCCAAAGCTCTATTCTAACATTTTTTGGTGTCTTGAGACAAGGTTCAATATTGCCTTTTTTCCATCATATGTTTGGTTTTAGTAATTCTCCCTTTCATAATTTTTGCTCAGAAAGTACCAGGATAGTGTTTAAGTTAGATTTATCCAATGGATGACAATATTTTCAACCCTAGTCATTTCTATTATATGTTCTTGAACTGCCTGTTGTTCACTTGTCATTGGATTTGCTTGAAAATACATGATAAACTTTTTCAGATATATGAATTATAAAACAAATTGGGGACAAAGAAAGAATGGAAAAAAGGGGGGTGGCTGAATGAGAAAAAATGAATGTAGAAAGTAGAAAGAAAAGAATAAAAAGTAAACACCTTGCGGATGCAATGGTGACAACAATGGCGCAATTGGACAAAAGTGATGGCGGGGCCTCAGGTTTGCTGTGAGGGATAAAAGTGCAACAACATTTGTGGCAGATAAGAAGTTGCTAGTAGGGTCTCGTGTAAAATAAATAACCCACCTCTAACCTTTTTTTTTTTTTGGTTGGGTTTTATGACCCAGCCTTTTTTCGGCTGCTATTGGGCTGGGTCTCACATAGACCCAAACTGGCCAAGTTGGGGCAGACTAAGACATTTTCTTCTCAACGCCACACAAGCTATGCGGTTGCGGGAGTAAGATTTTCATCACAACTAAAGCGGCCACCAGAGGCTGTCATGCAAAACCTGTTTCGCCACAGCCTTGTTGTGGTAGCTGACGATAAATTCACTTCCAGTTTCTGCCATGGTATCACCATCTCTTTTATTCGATAACATTGGTGTACTTATTGTCTTACATGAAATAGGGTATTAGTAATTACAATTTTCTTATATGATTATGTTATATATATAAAATAACATATTAAACTACAATCTATTTTGTTCTAATGCTCTTAAATGAGGTATAAATTTATCTTTAAATAAGTTAGACTTTTATATAGGTCGACATGCTTAATAATCAAGAAAGGTAAATAAACATGAGTTTAATTCATTATAACAATTCTAATATGATAATCATACTAATAAAAAATTATTATATATATTTATTTAAGTAGGCTGTCTTATTTAGCCTAAAAGGTCCAAATAAACTTTTATGAAAGCCTAGGCTAGGCATAACATATTTCGTAAAAAAGCATGGCCTAACCTGAGCCCGATATAAGCTGAGGTTGTTTGATAGTCTAACCTCCTTCCACTCCTAGGTGTCTTGATTACACTTACGTCCTCTTGTCATCTCCAATGAGTCGTCGCCCAATTGGACTTTTGAGTTAATATTATGCCAATGTTGATTTATTTTGGTTTTATTTGCATATACTTGATTTTTTATTAGTATATAATTTATATATATATATATCATATATTTCAGCCATTATGCAACTTCTAGTGTTTGCCCGTGATGCTATATGTTATATGATGTAGTGGATTATTGGTATACGGACTTCAATTTATTTGTACTGTCCATTTTTTAAATACTGAAATGATCTTTTGGAATTGTTTCAGATAGAAGGCCAGCTGACATCTGTAAAGAAGGCACTTGTTGCTGTCTCCCAGCGGCTTCAAGATTGTCCTCCGCCTGATAGAACTAAGGTGATGGGAAACAGACAGTATGAAATGGTTCAGTCCGAACCATTTTCAGTTCCTCTTGAATCTTTAAATAATCTACATATAGATCATCATCTACAAAGAAGCTCTAATGGAAATGGAAATGCTTCTGGTGCTCATAAATTATCAGCTGAAGTTAATAGAGTCTCAGTTCCGGATCCAAAAGCACTTCAGCAGGAAGTTACATTTAGAATTCTTTGTTCCAATGATAGGGTGGGTGCTGTTATTGGAAAGGGAGGCAATATTGTCAGAGCTCTGCAGAACGAATCAGGGGCTAGTATAAGTGTTGGTCCTTCAGTAGTGGAGTGCGAGGATAGACTCATTACTATTGCTGCAATCGAGGTTTGTTAAATGTAATCTTTTTGCTTTTTCTTCTGTTCTATTTCTTGTGTATGTATTAGTATAGTATAGCTCTAGTAATGTTTCTTTTTGCTGGTGGCTTAATTTTTGGCAGAATCCTGAATCAAACTATTCCCCTGCACAGAAGGCTGTTGTGCTTGTTTTCTCCAAGTCTGTTGAGGCTGGTGTTGAGAAGGGGCTAGACTTAGGAACAAAAAAAGGGTCATATGTTAGTGCACGGCTTGTAGTCTCATCAAACCAAGTTGGTTGTTTGTTAGGGAAAGGAGGGGTAATAGTCTCAGAAATGCGGAAAGCCACAGGAACTAACATAAGAATAATTGGCCATGATCAGGTTCCAAAGTGTGTATCAGATAATGATCAATTGGTTCAGGTCAGTAAGTAAATGATTCTTTGTTTGCGTTTACAATTTTTTCTTTTTTTTTTTAATTTCATGTGCTTGTTTAATGGTACCAAGCTATACCCTTTTTTTCCTGCAAAATCCCAATCTCCCTTCATGTTATATTTGATATTATTTTAAGATATATAATTTCATTCTTATCCCCCTATATTCTACAAAAGTATCTGTTATCCCTGTCTATGAATGTCGTCCTATTCTTATGCCTGCTTCTTGATTTATGCTTTGTCATCTCAGATTGGGGTGAAATAAAATGGAAAAGATAAGTGTTTATAGAGAATAAAGTGGATTCTTCATGCTACTACTTCGATAATGAAATTGCTTCTCCCAGCCTATATTCTGTTCATGAGATATGTTTGAGATTTTGAGTCTGTTTTTCTTAAGCGATACTTTGATTGACATTCACCAAGCTTCAAGCCGCCGCAGGCTTATTTTGATAAATGTATATAATTGTGCTTTTTGTTGGAGGAATATTTAGTTGCTCTATCAAGTTTGGCCTGATCTAAATTCGTGCTGCAACTATTGTTTGGTTGGGGTATATTTTATAAGGCCTATGTTTCATATCCATTTTCAGAGGAGAAAGTGTTTTTGCCTAACTAGTATGATATAATTACGTATCCTGTTAAACATCAAGTGTGGAGTTTTAGATGTGGCATAAATTTACTATCATAGTTCATGTATGACCAATTTTGATCCTCAGTTTGTTATATATATATTTTTTTTTATGTTTCTAAAGCCTGTTGTTACGTGTTATAGTTAGTTCCCTCCCCTCCCCTCAAAGTGTATAGATAATATTTTATTTCCTTCAAGATGCCTTTTGGAGTAATAAACAATTGTATTATGTTTAGATTAGGAATTTCAGATTATTTGAAATACTAAAGTTGAATTGTTATGATTTAAATTTCCTACATTTTAAAATCCTTTGTTTGAATAAATAAATTTAAATTTCTTAATTTGGGCAGGGTAGTTTAATTTCTATAATATATATACATACATACATACATATATATATATATATATATACATTGAAATTTTAAATATTTGATGTGAGAGAAGAGACAAATGTTAGGGAGAAGAGTACGAAGAATTAAGAATTCTTAGTTTTTTTATGGAATTTGAAATTCTATAATTTCAAGTAATCAAAATACTCTAATAAATTTATAGAATTTCAATTTCTTGTAAAGTTTCCTATTCAAACGTAATATTTTGTCATAAAACATTTTAAGTTTTCTTTTCTAAAAATTCCTCATCTAAACACAACATTAGGGTGCAGCTTGCAATGTGTATACACAGTTTTTAGTTATAGAAAGTTGGGTTATGCCTTAGGCACTTGGTTTTATATTCTTTGTTTACTGCTTTTTTTGTACTTATATGTCAAAACATGTTATTAATCCCTCAAAACGTTACATTTTTCCTTGAGAGCTATAATTGAAATATAAGCTGTATTCTCTATTTTATGGAGACTAAAAATTTCATTTTAAAGTTGGAGCTACCTATTCTTTGTATCTCAAAGACTTTTAGCCTCGTTATCATCTTGAGAGTAGTTCTGAATTCATGGTCTTTTTGATGCATATAACTACAACTTCTATGATGGGGTTGCTCAATTTTTATCTTCATGTGTTTATTTGATTTAGAAATCTGATCTTAATACTAGCCAAATATTGAAGACATGGTTTTCATGGTCTCCTTGATGATATGTATGGTGCCTATAACAAATACTTTGTGATATTCAACCTTTTTTTCTAATTGAATCCAGTGTTTACTTTAACTGTTTAGAGTTGACAAGAAGCATCTTATTTGCAAAATATGTCTAACTGAGTCATAAACTTCTTGTATATGTAGTTCATAATATTTGTTTATTGAATCATCAGGATAAATCTTGCAATCATGTTTCGGCATTTATTAATTCCTCATTATTCACTTTTCCCCCAGATATCAGGGGAGTTTTCAAATGTTCAAGGTGCAATATATAGTGCAACCGGTAGACTTCGAGATCATCTATTTGTCAGTACACAAAGCAGTAGTGGAGGAAGGAGCGTTTCCTCTGTTCTAGCGGGAGGCCAACTAACTGTTGCTGTTCCTCCTAGTCTCAACAGACATTCTTTGCCAGGATTACAGACACCACAGGTATATTGCTTTCTTTGTGCTGGCTGGTTTTCCTTTCCATGTTTTTTCCCCATGAACTGATAAAATTTGGTGCAGACAGTGGCTGGAATAAATTCCAGAGGCACCAATGGTGTCGGTCGGGGATTGATTTCCCAAAAAGGTGGCTTGGAACTTGTCAGGTTGGTGATATGCCAAATAAATTACACATGCTTTAATGTAGATCAATGATGTTATGAGGACAACCTCGCCCCGAAAGCATGAAGAATAGAAAAATGTTGTTTCTGATTGTCACCCACAACTTGTGGAGACTCGGAATTAAGCCACTCAAGCATATATAACAAAATGTTGAATTCTTATTATTTTACTCTTTTTGGTCTGCAGTGGGAGTAAAACCGCGATTGTTACTAATACAACTGTGCAAATTGTGGTTCCTGATGATGTTATTGGCTCTGTATATGGCGAAAATGGTAGCAATCTGGTTCGCTTGAGACAGGTAATCGATCTTGGATAAATTTATGGACGTATACTTTGTTTAGTTGCTTAAGTGCTCCTCACATTAAACAACGGGAATTGTACAAAGATATTATGGTGGAAAACATTATTATCCCCTCCATTAACTTAATTCTGCTTTCATTATCAGATATCAGGGGCTAAGGTTATCGTCCACGAACCTCGTCCCGGAACAAGTGACAGGACTATTGTCATATCCGGTACACCTGATGAAACTCGAGCAGCGCAGAGCCTTCTCCAAGCATTTATTCTCACTGGATCATCATGACAATGTCCCTTCACTGATGAACCTTTACTTTTCAAGTAGTTTTACCAAAAAAATTTAATTCCCTTTTATCCTACCCGAAAACGTGTACAATATAGGAAATTTCACTCCTTTTTTTGCTAGTAATCTTGGTGTCTACTGTCACTCTAATGTGTCATTGTCACTCTTATTTACTTCAATTCCATGAAATTTTAACTAACCAAAAAACATATTTTAGATAAAAGTTATTCAAATGTGGGTGACAATAGACATATGAAGAGTTGCAATAGTCATTCTCGTAATAGACTGCTAATCAATTCACACCACAGGTTGTACACAGAACGGCAGTGTACTGATTTAACAATAGTCATTTGATTTTTTTTTTGGGTATACAAAGTATTGGCGTGTTAAATTCAACAGTTCTAGCAATTTTATCACCAGTTTCTTTGTGGAATATTACCCTGTTATATATGCCATGTTTTAATTCAACTACTGGTGTAGTTCTATTTCGTGCGATTCTACATAAACTCAGTCGAATACGTCAATATATTGTCCGTCATGAGCATGTGGATAATGCTGCAGGAAAGGCAAGTTAACTGTTCTGGGTCTACATCCTAATGGAATAAAACAACATTTTACTATTTTTACTCGATGAAAAGGAAAACAATGTATAAAAATAGGTAGTAGAACATCGTCTCATAAAATTGGAATCCACAAATCCTGGTTTTAGCATTTGATGCATTCGTAAAATCATTTACCTCAAATGAAATGGTAATACGAGGAGATAAATGTTTGCTGAAGTCTCCTCCACACTGTTATATATTTATATGTTGCACACATCATAGTATTACACGGATAATAAAAACGAGTTTGTGTTTCAAGTTTCTGCTGCAGCAGCGGCAGGACTAAGAGTGATTTCCACGTTATCATGGACTCCTTGCAGCAGTAGCTCGCCTTCGTATTTCACTACTTTTCTCTTTTTCGCTGCTCTTAGTGTCCCAACAAGTGCTTCAAATATATTTGCACATTCATCATCGTTAAATAGTGTTCCAAATGTTACCTTCACAATACAAAGTGTATTTTGTTAATATCAAGAGATCGCTATTCAGAAGGGTATAACATATAAAGCACAAATCTCCACCTAAAGATTAAGATGATGAAAATTACAAATTCCAAAATGCAGTGGATTTTACTTGCTGCCTCCTTCAACAATATGAACATCATAGCCGGAGTTTACTTATTATGATGATGCTCTTGGATCACAAATTATGATTTCTTGTTAATTCAATGAATCACATTGTAAAGAGCAGCATTCTTCTGTTTCCCTGAGCAGATCAATCTTGTAAGGTTTCCCACATACTATCTCTCCTTCATAATTTTCATTTGAGTAATGATATTGAGACACCCTATTTTTCAAATACCCTATCCACATTTTTGTATTTATCTTCATATTACTTTTTTTTTTCTCTCTCTCTCAGTTGCTATTGAAGAGTATCTGATATTTCTATAATTCCATTTTGCTTTTATAGTATACATACAGGTAAGTAAAAATGTCTCTAATGAAACTTCACTAGTATAACAGATATTGATGCTCAAGTTTCCTTTGATTATTAGCTGTATTAGGGCCTTTTTTTTTTCCAAGGATTGAATGGTTCTTTCCCATTCCATTCATCCCAATCTATGCAAAACTGCAAGGTGGTTTGGTTTGAATCACAATTTTCCAAGAAAAGAAGCGATCTACCTTTCTGGGTTACCGAATCTCAACTGGCATATCAAAGGCAAATTGCATAACCAAAACTCAACTATCTCACCCTCAGTTTTAAATCCAATATTTGGGAGATCCTGAGATGTATACAAAGATAAAATCAGATCCCTGTAAACAAATTTAAGATCCGAATTTGTTAACAACACAGGATCCCATTAATGAACTCATGATCTAGATCTACACGAATGAAGCAAACATCATATATTATCATGCGTGTATGAGGAAGAAGAGGTGAAGAAAAATTTGTGAGCTTGAAATTCCAAAAATGTAGATTCATAGCAACACGGTAAAAAAAGAAGATTGAAAGATGAGATTTTGTTATATAGACCTTGTAAGAACCATCTTGTTGGACCTGGCCAAGCCTCTTGATTTCTTGGCCGAGCCGCTGAACCTCTTCTTCAACGTTCATTGTTACAGTATCTTCCAACAACTATAATCACCAGAAGATCAAATATCCTCTGCTCCACTTTATTTATATTAGAGTGCCTCTGGAAGGATGAATAAATAATATGATGCACCAAAGTCTCGTTCAATCGAGTGAAGAGGATAAATATATTAAATTAATTAGCTATATTGGGTAATCCAAACGTTGAATAACAACAGTCAAGTTTTTTTTTTTTAAATTGAAAATAATATGAAATTTGATGTGTCGTATTGTCTTCTAATTCAACATAATTATGCATATTATATAGTTTTAGTAAGAGTTTTCAAACACCAATTCAATTATTAAACTGGTTTTATTATAGATTTAATTTGGATTAAAAATATAAAAATCATAAGATATTAATATTTTGATATTTTAATTGTAATAAAATCTTTCAAAAGTCAAATTAGTGACAAAACATCTTCTAATAGCTAATGATTAAAACACTTTCTTCTAAACAAATATGGGGATTTAAAATTAAAATCTGACTTCACATATGAATTTTTGTATGATATTGTAAAAACTTGATGACAAATATAATTAATGTAGTTGCAATTAATTATAGTGACATCATTCTAAAAAGTTTGATGTTGGGACTAATATGATTAAATACTATTTTAAGAAATAAGAATCACTTAATTATTTATTTTTTTGTAATGTTACATACAAAAGCTCTTTAAGAATATTATATATCTGTTTTGACTTATTTTTAAAAAATAACTATTTTTAATATTTCTTTTAAAATATTTAAAACTATTTTTTTATTTTATAGCAAGACTTAATTTTATTTTGTCAATATTCTGTTTTAGAGTGGGTGAGGAAAGTGAAAGAATACTGATTTTTTTTTTAAAGTTAAAAATCAATGATTTTTTTTTGTTAGACGTGAAGAAAGTAAATAATAATTTGATATTTTTATATAATTGATTATATTTTAATATTATATTTTAATTATTATATTAATAAATAAATAAATTTATTTAAAGATAATAAAAACAATATTTTAATCAATTTTATCTTTACCATTTTTTTACTCGTTTTTTTATATACCCTTTCGTTTTCTAATTATAAAACACTTTTTGTTATTGTTTATTTATTTATTTTATATCTATTACTTTTTTTATATGTATAAATCAGTTAAATATTTTTATTAATTATTGGATAAAAATTTAAGATCAGAAAAAAAAACTATACTGACTGATAGAAACTGGTAAAACTATAGAAATAAAAACCTCCTTACTTCATGACCACCATATAAAACACAATTAAATTTATTGTAAAAAACTAATTAATAATTGTTGAATAATTAAAATAAAAATTATTAGGTTTATGAATTGAATTTGTATGAAACAATTAAACCTAATCTTTGTGAAAATAATCTAAAATACATCACTCTATTATCAATCTCACTATCTCTTACACTAAATTTATCTTTTAATGAAACACAATCAACTGTTTAAAAAGTTTAAGATAGGTCATGTTAAAATATTGAAAAAATAAAAAAAGTGGTTAAAACAAATTGAAAGTTGAACAATTTTTTTTCAATTTTTTAGATTTCTCTTTTCGTAGCACAAATTAATTCAAAATTAAAATTGAAATATAACTATTTAACGAATTTAAATACAATTTTATATATTTAAAGTTAATTATTAGTTATAAATATATCTCTAAAAGAACCATTTCATAATTTGATTGTGTTTTATTTATAATATATTTATATTTATGCAAAACAAAAACTGAAATTTTAGCAAATATTACAAACTGCAAATATATTTATATTTTAGTAAATATTTCTTTTTGAATATTATAATAATAATTTTAAAAAATATTATAATATATTTAACAACTTTTTTAACAAATGTTTTACATAATTTTTGTAATTTTTTTAAAATTTGTAATAATAAAAATAATAAATACAGATTCTAATAAAGTTGAAAAATATTAGTTTAATTATATTTTATATTAAAATAAAATAAATCATATCAAATTATATAAGTATTTTATATATAGTTTAGATGATTATTTAATAAAAATTAAATTAAAAACAACTCATACGTTCTGATTAAGACTCTTAAACAAGACTTCATCTTTATGGTTGACAAATATAAATTAAGAATTATTTAATAGATAAGGACAGAGAATTTGACCTATATTGTATTAGGGTTTTATAATAATTATTATTTTTTTCTACTAGAGACCCTATTCTATTACTTTGAAATAAAAACCTATTTTTTATTCCAAAATTTAATCTGAAAAATTACCCAATTAAAATAAGTATGTTATAACTTGATACAATTTATTAAGCAATAATAAAATAATTCATCAAGAATGTTTTCTTGAAGATTAATTATACTGAACACTTGTATCTTTTTTGAATTTTGTTATTTAAGTTTTTTTATGAATTCAAAATCTTATTTAAAAACATTAAATTCAGACCAAGATAATACATGAGGAAGAAAAATATATTTAGAAGGAAATGAATTTAAATATGTTATGTCCACACACACCATAAAACCATATAGTAACACAAAATAAACACACAGAAATTGAAAATGGATGATGAAATTTACAAAGTTTGTGTTTTTTTGATTCAGTGGCAGTCTGAGTTTGACTCTTTGCTTGAGTTGTGCTGTGTTTTGTCTAGGAAACAACACTCAATCAATAGTTTCCATTTCTATTCTTTTTCAATTTCTTTCCTTTCCACACTCTCTCCCTATCCTTCTAATCCATTAATTCCTTCCTTTCTCTCTCTATTCTCTTTCACACCCCACTCTTCTTCTTCTTCTTCTGCTGTTGCTCCTTTTAGGGTTCCTTGCTAAACCCTTCCAAAACCGTATTCAAAATTTTGTGCTCAGTGATGCTTCAGGAATGGATACTGTGAATAATCGGTGTCAGGACGGGGAAGAAGCGGCGTCGGTGGCGGCGGGGCTTCCCATGCATGTCGATACTTTCCATTACGTCAATGGCTCCGATGAAGGGGAAGAAGCTGCAGCTACTCTACTTGCACATGCTTCTTCTACTGTGCATACCAGAACCAGCGAACTCACCATTTCCTTCGAAGGCGAGGTCTATGTTTTCCCTGCTGTTACGCCACAAAAGGTTATTTCTCTCTTAATTTTATTATTTTTTTATTCACTCACAGCTTGTTTTTAATTAGAAGAACTTCTTTTCTTGATTGTTGAGGAGACATGGTACTCTTTTGTGGAATTTGAAGTGTGAAATCCTTTGAGAAAGTGAAAAAAAAAAATACTGTTTTTTTTTTTTGTGTGTATTTGTTTGTTCATGTATTGGTATCAGGTTATGATATTTTTATGTTCAATCAAAAGGAAGAAAAGTTGGGAAGTAGGTAATCCGAGCAATGGTTAGTGAGATGGTTTAAGTTTTTTCATAGAGTAAGTAGAAGGATTTCTCTTAATGTAGTTTTCTTTCAGTAGGATTTCCTTTCTTTTTTGTGATTGACTTTGCTGGATTGTAAGAAAGTAATGATTTTTTTAAAATCTGAATAACACCTAGGCTCCTACCTCAATGTGGATTTCAAATTTTTGAGATGACCACCAGTGATCATTTGTGACCTGTTAAATTATTCAACTCAGCTCCCAATTAATTATATATTTATTTTTAATAAAAGGGGTCTACTTGCCCATATTTGCACCACTTCTATAAAATGTTTCTTCGGTTCGATGATGCCTCTTTTTCTCTGCTGAAGTACAGGTGCAGGCTGTATTATTACTCTTGGGAGGGCAGGAGATGTCAAATAATGTCCCCACCTCGGACTTTTTGTTGCAGCAAAACTGTCAGGACGTTAGGGTATTTCTTCAGAAATTGAATTTCTCTTTGATATATATATATATATATATATATATATATATATATATTTTTTTTTTTTAACATATCAAGTGTTCTAAAACTTGTTATTATATGTCAGGAAATGAATGATCCTTCCCGATGTTCGAAGCTCTCACGAAGAATTGCATCGCTTGTTAGGTTTCGTGAAAAACGAAAAGAGAGATGTTTTGAGAAGAAAATCCGATACTCTTGTCGCAAAGAGGTTGCTCAGAGGTAGGGTGAGGATAGTGGGGAAGGAGAATTCACATCTTTAGTTGATATTTTTTGCCCAAAATATCTGTCCTAAGTGATTTATTTATTCATATTATTTAGTTCATTTTGATGAAAATGAGTCTCTCAGGGTCAATTTTTCTCTTTCTGTTGGCTCAACATTATTGTTGACTGCTAATTTTGAAAGCCTTTTATTAAGAAAATCAAAGATTTGAAGTAAGATTTCAAACCCAATAATGAGTATAGAAATCCTGTATTCTCAAGTCCTACTAATAATACAATTTATAAAATTAGCTTCTGGTAACTTAGAAGTTAAAGAAAATACCCTTAGGAAGTTTGTTTATAGTTACACTATTTGTTCAGATTATTTATGAGTTACATTCCCCCTCATGCCTGTATCCTCTGTCATATGTTGCTTGAATCTACATTGGTGATTGGTTTTTAGGATTGTGTCTCTTTCTTGCAAAAGCATTAACTTTCAGAATAAGAATTGGAGCTTTTACCTTTGACCCTAATACGATGATGCTTTGGTTGTTTTCTAGATGGTATAGGCTGGTTTTTTTGAGATTGACAAATACTTGGTTATCAAATAGGATGCATCGTAAGAATGGACAATTTGCATCGCTGAAGGAAGACTACAAATCTCCTGCTGAAAATTGGGATTCAGGCAATGGTACACCTTGCCCAGAATCTACGTGAGTTTCAAAGTTATACCTTTTGTTTTAAAAGGAAGGATGCAATAACTTTTATTCTTAATCTTTTATGGCTTGGTGCTAGTATAATTATTGTTGTGTTGCACCTCTGCCATTGTTAAGTGAACGTAGATGTCAGCATTGTGGAATTAGTGAGAAGTCTACTCCAGCTATGCGCCGAGGACCAGCAGGTCCAAGATCTCTGTGCAATGCCTGTGGGCTTATGTGGGCTAATAAGGTAATTAATATCTGTTTAGCCTAGCATGAGACTTACATTTGTTGATATTGATTGTTGCAAATGTTGCTTTCCAGAATCAGATATGGCATGCGGGTCTCTCTTTTTTAGCTTTATTTTGAACTGAAAACCATGCCTTAAACACTGTAGCTGTTGTTAACTGGTGTTCCCTCAGATGTCATCAAATTTTAGTAAACCAATATTTTACGAAGATTTCTTTTTAACCTTTTTGTCTGCTCTTAATGCCTAGACTTTTATCCTTAGTATATTCGTTAGTTGTTCCCAATGTGATTATGAGTTTATGGGTCTTTAAGATCATATTTTTTATCAGTCAGATAAATTGTCAGGAAAACTGAAAAGAAATACTACCTGTTGGCATTTCTGATAGGTGATAACTGTTTATGAATTATGATTTGAAAATAAGGTTTGTGTCAACCTGAAGAATAATATTCATAGCATGCACTGTCTTTCTGCTTCAACAAGAAGAATAATAATGTTCTTTGCAGTTATCATCAACTCATTGTTTTGATAGTCCTGGAATTGTGTGAAGGATGATTATTTTGCGTATCTGGATTGTTGTGGCCATGAGAGGATAATTTATTACCAAGTATCAGCTGAGCAAGTTCATGTTTCCATCTTTCCTAATGTGACTAGGGCAATCTTACAGTACCCAATTACTGATTTTCATTTTCATGCCTTGTTGATTTTGAAGGGAACTCTGAGAGATCTCACCAAAGCAGGAAGGATTGCTTTTGAGCAAAATGAACTGGTATTTTTAATTTTTCTTATTATCATGGAACAATTTCTTGTCTTCTATTGTTTTACTTTCTTCTATCGTAAATAACCAAGATTAAAATATACTGTCTTCTTGCTTTACATCAAACGGATAGACAAATTCTTCCAAGACATGTTTACATCACACTTTTGAAAACAGCTAGATCTTTTGTGTAAGCAGGATGGATTTGGATCCTCTTGGCCTCTTACATGACCATATTATATGATAAGGTATACAAAATGTCCTGTGCTGAAAATGATTATGAGACCACTACACCACGCATTGCATCTGTCTCTCATAAAATGACTTGGTCATGAGATGGCCACACATAGGATGATCGAAATGAAAATATATGTAGCTAAGGATGTGGAAGGGTTTGACAAACTTCCTTGTTGCTCATGGCTAGGACAAACATAAGAGGATTCTTTATTTATACATAATTAGGTACAAATAGAAGTAAATATTCATTATTAGTTGTTCTGCTGTATAATATGTAAAACATAGAAACATTCTTATTATGACACAACTGATTTTAGAAATAATTATTGATGAAATATGACTATAGGTGTTAGGAGATGACAGCATTAAAATTTTGGTGTAGCAGTCACATAATTCAACTATAAATAATTTGCAGAAATAGCTTGTGTCTATTCCCTACCCTTTTTTTGTTAGTACTACTTGTTCAAAATCTGAAGATACTACATACTTTATTCTGTAATTTCACTCCTAGTGGTCTCCAATTTGTAATTTCTGATATGATCATTGCTCGATGTTTGGAATTTCAAGTCTAACGATATTCTCTTTATTTTAAGGATACTTCAGCTGATATAAAGCCTTCAAAAGCAGCAGCAGAACATTCTTGTGCTAAGCAGGACAAAGAGGTATTTGTGTTGGAATTTTCTTTATCAAGTTAATAAAAACACTATTTTGTTGATATATAACTGTTTCTTTAACTTTTTATTTTTCTTGTGACATTAGTGGTCTCCTTCTTGTTTACCTAACTTCGACAAATGGTTATAAAACTGCATGAAAACTCTTCATTATTTATAATATCAGTATATTGTTTTCTGAGGATCCATACAAGTAAAATGCTTGTTATTTTTAAATTTGTGCTTGCTGATGCTGATTATTACCAATTAATTGACTTTTATGTACTTGTTTGCATGACTGAACATTGATCCTTATGCCGACACCCTCTTTATTTACCAGGGAAGCCCTGAGGAAACTAAGCCTGTGCAAATGGATTCCCGACGGACCCCTGAGAAGACAAATGATCAGGTTTATCTATTTGTCTGTTCGTATTAGTAAATACATTTTCTACATAATTTAATGGAATTTAATTTTGCTTAATCTATGATGAGTAAATCTCATTTGCTTGTGTGAGATTATGCAATTTACTTTAGTTAAATAGATTAATAAAAATTTGACAATTTGATTTACTTTTAGTTGGACTCAAACAGGATATAACATACTTTGCTATGATCTGTAAAACCTTGTCATTCAAAATTCAATGGTTTTATAAATCAATTTAATGGGTCAAAGACATCGATGAATGTATCTGAGTCTCTTTTAATAGTATATGAAGTTTAAAACTGAAAATAAATTTCCCTTCCATTCAATCTCCATCAAGAGACATGGGTCACTAAATTTCCTGTGGAAGTTTTTCTAATCTGGAGATCAGAATTTTTAATTAAAACTCAGCTACTGATTCGAATCTTACGAGAGCGATTCTAACTGCCATGCTATTGAAAATTAGAAAACTTGAATTAGTTTTGAAGAAAGAATACTAGCTCTTGGTGCTTGGCACACAAATCATATTCATGGGATAGACCCACATAGTTCCAGCATAGAAGGGGAAACCAAGTCACCTTACCGAGCGTACTGAGTATGTTTTTAATTAGTTTACTCCCTATTGAAATTGTGTTTTAGGTCGGGTGTCAAAATGATATTTGTTTTGTCATACTCCTTTGGGGTGTTTTTTTTTTTTTTTTTTGTAGTTTGTATGGCATTTGATTTTGTGACTTGGGGTGTTATTTCAAGAATATACCTTAAAAGATTTTCAACTTTTAAATATTGTGGCCTTCAATTTAATTTTTTGATTTACAGTTTATTATCGGAACTGCTGAATCAGTTACTGACAACTTGTCCATCCAAGTGGAGAATCATGCTCTTAGTCTTCATGAGCAGGTATTCTTTCCTTAATCAACCATGAGGTATCCTTTGATGGTTAAGTCTTGAAAAGGGTTAAGGTGATTGACCTTGTTTGACAATTGGTATTATATACTTTTGAGATTTGCAGGATACTCTTGAGGATCTTGCTGATGCTTCTGGAACCGAGTTTGAGATTCCCGCAGGTTTTGATGAACAGGTATATGTTAAAACTGACTGATCTTATCACGATTGCTAAATATATAGGAGCTAAGCCATCTGATCCTACCACTAGCCTTTATCTATATTAACTCTACTAAAGTTCATGATACATACAGGTTGACATTGATGATTCCAACATGAGGACATACTGGCTGTGATCTAGAGATATTTCTGTGCTCAATCAGCAGGTTTGTTCCCAATGGAAACGACTATGCACTGCTGCTTCAACTAACATTGGACTTCTAGGAATAGTTTATGTTTTATAGACAAACTATTTCTGGAAGCGCTGTGAATTATATGATTGTAGACATACAGTTTCATACATGAGTTCCTGTACATCCCTCTGGGACCAGATTTGATTATTATATAATGTGAATAGTTTAGTTTTTTTTTTTTTCTTTACCTTCTGCGGTATTCAACTTTTATTTTGTATTCTTTTGAGGTATCACATGAAATGAGCTCGTAAAATGAGAATAAGCTAAACTCTGCGAAATAATAACAAAAAAAGAAGTCTCCCAGCAAATTTCATCCCAGCAAGTCTCATGAATTTTTAAATTTATTGAGTTGTACTATTCGTCATGACATATCATCATTTTAATTACTTTAAGCATCTTGATTGATTATTCTAATAATAACTTCAAAAAGTTTTTTGGTTTAACAATAGTGTCTTTATATATTTTTTTCAAACTGTTTATAGAATTTCCTTTTATATCTTGGTCTCGTTTTCATTTTAGTCACTCCAATACATTCATTATTCATTCTTGTGTTTAGTTTTGGGCTTTTCCTTCCTCCACCACCTTCTCTTGGTCATTACATTTTTTAGAAAACACAATATGGGGAGTATACTATCTTAATTTAACACTATAGAATTATGATAATTGTAAATTTTTAACTTGTTAGAACACAAAATTGTATTCTGAACAGTTTAACCCAAATGTAGAAAGTTTTGAAGGAATGGGTTATTGACAATGTTCTGGTGGGACAGCTTCCCGTTTTTGTTAGCTTAAAAATATGTTGGTACTCAAAATGAACAAAAGGTTGAGTTGCTATACCAGGTACATGTTGGTTTCATATAGTAGATATTATGTGATAAGATATTATGGTCTTTTATGTCGGTTTCGAGATTCTTACAGCGATAATATTCCATTTGAGTGAGATTAGAGAAAATCATAATGCCTTAAAAGTCTCTTATTATCTCTTTATAGATTTTGCACTCATGATTCAATCCATGAAATCTTAAATTACTATTTTATGTGAATAATAGAGAATGGTAACCATATTTAGAGATAAAAACATTAATCTATATAAGTTAAGTATTTAAGCTATTATTGAGAATAAGTTAGGTGTAATATTGTGATCTACCCAAATTTATTATAGGTGGCTTTAATATATGTGATATACATTCCTTATTTATTTTTAAATTTTTTATGGGTTGAATACCACTTATGGTAAGAGTTTCATGAGTGGGTAATAAAGTTTATGTTGTTTTCTTTTTTTTTTTAATGTAGGGTGTTCTAATTAGATTTCACAGTAGAGAAAAAAGTAAGGATTTTAATTGTTTTTTTTTAACAATTTTTATTGAAGTTTTGTTATGGTTTTAAAGTAACCTATAAAGGTCATTTAGTTTCTAACAGTGTTTTATTTTATAAATTTTATTTCTTTATTTTTATAAATTTTAATTGAGAAGTAAAAAATGTAAATCATTTTACATAACAATAAGAGGTATTATTTAAATAATTTTTTGCATTTTATCATTTATATAAGAGAAATGTTTTGGGATTAGAGAATGCCATTAGTGGTATCAAAGTAGGTTAGTTGATTCAACCAATGGATTATTTGTGTTTGTCATGTGTGTACATTGAATTTTATGCTGAGTGTTTGCTAGTGCACTTTGCAATTTCAGATTGAACTTTGAAGTTTGATGACTTGATCAAGGAACATGTTCCATTGTTTGGTGTACCTCATTCTTTCATATTGCATGATTGTGTGTCTAAACCTAATTTACTTATGTCTACTTTAAAGTTTGAGTTTATTGTGGAAATGTCAATCTTATGGGCTGATTTTATGGTTGACTTAGCCTATTGGTCTCTTAATCAACTAAATCTTATTCTTTGTATGAATTATTTATTTTTTAACCATGTCTTGTTGAATGACTTGCATAATAATGGTATTATAACTAAGTCTCTCACTAGAATTGGAGAAAGAGGTGAAAAAAAAAAGGATGTTATTCCGAGAAAAGATATTAAGAAATTTAATTGTGGAGGAACCATGAAGCTTGGTTATGAAAGGGGTAACACATTATTACATATCTTTACCATTGATAATTGATAAATTTTTGCTCCCTGGAAGAAGTGCTTAATGGCGAAACTACTAGGAAAAATATAAGGTTTATGACTACAAGGGAGAAGCTTGAAGTATTTTGGAAGACAGAATATATTTAATCATTTATGTTATGAATACACAATTTAAGGTTATAATTTGATAGATTTATATGGTGCAAGAGAATTTTATAGTTCTATACAAATTTGAAATTGAAAAAATATATAATTCATTTCTTATAATTTTCTAAAAAATAATATTTTGGAACTGATTATTTTTGTTAATTTTCTAAAAAAAAACACGCAAGTATAGTCTTCTTCAGTAATTTTGTTTCTAATGAAAATGTACTATATTAGATGTATTAAATCATTTAATGAACGAAAAACTTTAGTAAAAATAACATTATATTTTAATCTTCAAAAAATTAATATAAATATTTTGAATAATGGTTTTGACGCACGAAAAGTAATTTAGTTTTTATTAAAAATCATGGTTATTATATTTCATGATTAACAAAGTACATATTGTCTTTTAAAATCTTGACAAGGGTTTTTTAGACATTACATATTTTAAAATTGAAATGCATATCTATCAATAACAATTAAGTAAAGTTAGAAACCACAAATATTATATATATATATATATATATATATATATATATATATATATATATATATATATATATATAAAACACAAATTGATACATAAATAACTACAATTTATAGGATCATGTTGAATATTTAGTTTGATTTAATTTTTTCATTGAACAGTCCCAGAATGAAACGTAAAATAAAAAAATTATTTGATTCTAATAAAATATAAATTAAAACTAAGTTAATGTAGTTTAATTTATATTGTTAGTTTTTTTTTCAAAATTAGTAAATATTATATAATAAAATTAGATAAAAAAACATATTTTGAATTTTTATAATTATTATTATATTCATAATATTAATTTCTCTTATATTTAAAAATAAATTATAAAATATAAAAAAATGACAATATTTTGATAATATAAATATATTTTAAATAAAACATAATAATATAGAAAAATAATAATAAAGAAACAATATTTTTCTGTATGTATATTAGTTTTTAATTAATTTTAAGAATTATGAATAAGTAATTAAATTTGATTATTAATTTTTGATCCAAAATTTAGATTAATATGTTGGATCGAGAAGAAAAATAAATAAATTTTATTTTACTTGGTTTTTTTATTAAAATGTTTATTTACTTGATTCAATTTATTTGTATATTAAGCGTAATTTGCTATCACATGTTAAGTAATTTTAGTTAAAATAATAAACAGGCGTACGATTGGAAGAAACAGCTTATACTTGGTATTTTGCAATCATGAGGTTGAATGACGCATCCCAGTCCCATCTGTTAGGACATTTTTCTTTGGAAATTGAATTATTAAAACTCAAAATTACAGCCAAAATCAACGTCGGTTCATAAAGTGAAAATGATGAACTTCTGATCTTCCAGGCGCAGCCTTACTCGCCAAGAAAATTCCCTTCTCATATATAATCTTCCCTCCTTCAAACGCTTCCCTCCCACAAATACAGTTAGTTTGTTAGTTAGTTAGTTCGCTTCTTCGTATTCAATATCTGAAACCCTAACTGGCGATGGCGGTGGCCGGCGGCGCCGCTCCTTTGGGTTCGTCGGTGATCTCTCTGGTAAACCGACTCCAGGACATCTTCAGCCGCGTTGGGAACCACTCCACCATCGACCTCCCTCAGGTGGCGGTGGTCGGCAGCCAGAGCAGCGGCAAGTCCAGCGTCCTCGAAGCCCTCGTTGGCCGCGACTTCCTCCCACGCGGCAACGACATCTGCACTCGTCGCCCCCTCGTCCTCCAACTCGTCCAAATCAAATCCTCTCAGGAGGAGTTCGGCGAGTTCCTCCACTTGCCTGGCCGCAAGTTTCACGACTTCTCCCAAATTCGCTCCGAAATTCAGGTTCAACTTGAATTTCAATTGAATTTGAATTTGATTTTTCCAGAATGAGTCACTCATTTATCACTGCTTTTGTTTATGTGTTTGTTCTTTCTTTCTTGCATAGGCTGAGACTGATAGGGAAGCTGGGGGGAACAAAGATGTATCTGATAAACAGATTCGTTTGAAGATTTTTTCGCCGAATGTTCTTGACATCACGCTCGTGGATCTCCCTGGCCTCACTAAGGTTCCCGTTGGTGACCAGCCTTCGGATATCGAGGCTCGAATTAGAACCATGATCATGTCTTATATCAAAACTCCAACCTGTCTGATTTTGGCGGTTACGCCTGCGAATTCCGATTTGGCGAATTCAGATGCTCTTCAGATGGCCGGAATTGCCGATCCTGATGGTGGCGTTTTTGTTCCTTATGCCTAAAGTGATGATCATTTTGTGTCTCTTTGATTGGTGGTGGTGATTTGAAGTTTTTACTTTTGTCTTTCTTTTTTATTGCAGGGAACAGGACGATTGGTATCATCACGAAGGTAAAGTATAATGTATGATTGTGGTTCTGATTTCTGTTGCGGTGTTTTTGTGTACTGACGATTTGTGGGGGGGGGGGGGGTGGTTCTGTGTTGGTTGGATTTTAGTTGGATATCATGGACAGAGGTACTGATGCGCGGAATCTGTTGCTAGGAAAAGTTATTCCCCTCCGACTTGGTTATGTGGGTGTTGTGAATCGTTGTCAAGAGGTAATGATGTTATCCTCACAAGTCATTGCTAATGAATATGCGCTTGTGAATTGGTTGATTAGCCTGCAGTTCCACATGCAATGCTGAAATTTAGTTTTTTTTGTTTTCATCTCAAATTAGGATATATTAATGAACCGAAGTATAAAGGATGCTCTTGTTGCTGAAGAGAATTTTTTCCGCAGTCGTCCTGTAAGGAATTACCTTTACTTTATAGTATTCAATGTGTCACGTCTATATACTGATTTAATTCATGCTATTCAAGATATACAGTGGCCTAGCAGATAGTTGTGGTGTTCCTCAATTGGCAAAAAAGTTGAACAAGGTAAAGAATTGGCAATGCTGAAAACACTAATTAGCTTTCATTATTAATTTTACTTGTCTCAAATGCTGCCTTAATTGCATCTTCTGCTACCTTATATATTTAAAAGAGCTCAATTCTTAGAAATTCCCTGAAAGTTCTAATTATTACTAATTCTTAGGATTTCATAGCTGAACTTAAGCATGCTATTTGCTTGTATATCTCCTGCAGATTCTTGCGCAACATATCAAGGCCGTATTACCAGGACTGAGAGCACGTATAAGTGCTTCTCTAGTCACTCTTGCGAAAGAACATGCAAGCTATGGAGAAATTACTGAGTCCAAGGCATGTGTCCCTATGACATACTTATTTAAATATACTGTTTAACTTGTTTAAAAATGATTAGTTTCTACTCTGGATGATCATTTACCTACTTCAATCCATTATTCTTCATCTCCTATAGGCTGGACAGGGTGCTCTTCTCCTTAATATTCTTTCAAAATACAGTGATGGTACTTAATTTTCCCTTGTATTTTATTCTTATCTCATCAACTTTTACATCTATTAATTAATTCCATTTCTTTCGTATATATTCATTAATATTCCACTTATAACTACCTTCAAATTTGGTTATGCCATCTTTTGTTTCTTTGCTTTTTGAAAACAGCATTCTCCTCCATGGTAGAGGGAAAGAATGAGGAGATGTCTACATCTGAGCTTTCTGGGGGTGCACGAATTCATTACATTTTTCAATCTATCTTTGTGAAGAGCTTAGAGGTATATACATATATATGTATATACAATAGTTTGTCTTTTCTATATACCCCACATTATTTAAAATTTCTTTAAATTATTATTATAAATAATATTAATAAATAGCAACTCTAATTTGATTGAAGGAATAGTTTTTAATACTTAAAATGTTTTGTCTGAATTCACATAATCGCTGGATTGTAAGCGTTGAACTAAATCTTCATTTTAACTTTGTTTTAATGATCTAACTCGTCTGAGCAAACTATAAATTATATAAATTGAGTTCTAATTGAATAATTTCAAGGGAAATGGAAAAATGTCATTAATTTTACTTGAAAACATTTATATAATGTAGATTTTTTAGGCAACAGGCAAAATATATGTTTTACACTTTGAATCCATGGAACCACCCAATGGTCATGTTGCTCCATCCATTTCTTCACAGCTAGCTCCACAGTCCTATTATAGTGCTATTAAATGCTGTTACAGGAGGTGGATCCATGTGATGGTTTGACTGATGACGATATTCGCACAGCCATACAGAATGCAACTGGACCTAAATCAGCACTGTTTGTTCCAGAGGTAGGTCTCTTGTCACCCTCTTATTACGCATACAATTATGATACTTTCTTAGTTGAACCCACATCCCTATTCTATCAATATGTAATATTTTTGCCAGGTGAAAAAATATTTGTGTATTATTTCCATTAAATTAGGTTCCTTTCGAAGTTCTTGTGCGAAGGCAGATATCTCGACTATTGGATCCAAGTCTTCAGTGTGCTAGGTTTATATATGATGAGTTAACGAAGGTATGGTTTTATCACTTGCTATTCTGCATCCTTACTTAACTACCATACAAACACAACCTAAATTATAATCCCTTCTCTTCAGATCAGCCATCGCTGCATGGTAACTGAATTGCAGCGGTTCCCTTTCTTGAGAAAGCGGATGGATGAGGTCATTGGGAACTTTTTACGAGAAGGCCTAGAACCTTCAGAGACTATGATAACACACGTCATAGAAATGGAGGTATACTAAAAGTTAACTCATTTGATAAATTTTTATGCGTAGATGTATATTTGCTCGTACTATTGCAATTATTTTAAGTAGATGCTGAAAAATATGGTTGGTTGCTAAGGTTATGGAGTCTAACATGGTTGCACGATACAAATCCTACCAAAATAATGATCTATGTCTTAGTTATTTATCCTGGCCACTGTGGACCAGCTGTCTCCCAAAATACTATAGTAGGAAATATTATAGATACAAGATCAATACTTCTAAGAGAATAAGAACGTAAGAATGAACCAAAAATAATGAGGTAATTAATAGATAAAATCAAACACAACAGTTAGGTGAAAAGAGACCAAGGTAAGGGAGTTGGATAAAAGAATAGAGACAAACAAATTAGGGAAATTTGAAGAAAGAACACCGCCTCAGAAAAAAATAAAAATAAAAAATATAACAGAAACGTGAGAGCCGTGAAGCTTATGATGCCTTATGTGAAGAGACTGAAGGATAGGCAGAACATTGAACAAAGATGCCTGGAATTGAGAAGCAGCGAGATTGCAAAAAAATATTGGGTTGACCAGAATCATCAGGCAGTGGGTCCCTTAGAGTATAAGGGGAAGGAAAAGTTAGTAAGATAGTTAGTTAGTTGCATAAGGTGTTGTTTAGATATAAATAGGGTGTGAAGGATAGGAGAAGGGAGTTCATATTTTTTGTAAATTGAGCATTAACTCTTTGTGAAAGGAGAAATCCTTTGTGAAGGGGAAACCCTTGGAGGAGAGTTTTCTCCTATCTCTAGTTCTTTTCATTCTATTCACAAAAGAAACTTTCTTTTCTTTTTCTGTTTAATTCTTGGTTCCTAACAATTGGTCCGATCTGTCGGATCCAAAAAAGGGAAAATCATGGAAGGAAGAATTGTTGTCTTGGAAAAATGGGTCAGTGAGCATGGGAAGATCATCTCGGAAATGCAAGATAATTTTCAGAAATCAAAGACTTGTTGAAACACTTCAAGGAAAAAGAAAGAAGCTCAGCGAAAGGTGAAAATTCTATAAATGGGGGAAGAAGAGGAGAAAGGATGGTGATTAGTGAGGAATCTGATTCGGATGGGGGAAAGAAGAGGTGCAGCATCCCTGGATGAAGAGGATGGAGCTGCCAACTTTTGAAGGAAGTGAACCAATTGGTTGGATTGTTAGGGCTGAAAAATTTCTGAGGTACATGAAATTGATTCTTTTGATAAGCTGTAACATGCATTCATGAGCATGGAGGGTGTGACAATGCATTGGTTCTATTATTGGTATCAAGATAACTCGGATTTAGATTGGGAATCTTTTTCAGCAGCTTTGATAAAAAGATTGAAAGATACTTGTGGTAGCCACATCTTTGAAAGATTGACTACCATAAAGCAAGAAGAGCAAACCAAGATTAAAACATGCAGCAAAATAATGGAGACTATCGCACTGTTCTTGAAAGTGTATGAAGAGGGTGATCCATATTTGGTTGAGCAAGAAAAAAATAGTATGGAGGGAAGCGGGTCAAAATGCATTGCAACATAGATTGGTTCTTGGCCAAGAAATATGGAACTACCCACATTCGCTGAAAGCATAGAAGGGGAATTTGATTCAAAGTGTGGTAGTTTTGAGAGGGATGAGGACCCATTTCTATTCTTGAAATCAAAAAATAAAAGTAAAGAAGACTCAGTAATCAAGTATCATACCATTGATAGTGGAGAAGAAACCAAAAATGAAGAGAATTTAGCAAGAGAAGCAAAGATTATGTCAAAGAAAGTTGTTGCTACATTAATAAAGATTGTGAAAAATATGGATTTCCATATTAAGAATCAGGAATCTTTGTTGGATCCAAATTTGATAGTGAAGGTGGTTGGAACAAAAATGGCATTAGAATTTGGGAATTTTAATTTTCTTGGTGATCCTTTAACATTAAATTTCATTGCTTCTCTAGATCACAACTTGCCAATGGAGTCAATGCAGAAGGAATGATTGAAGGCTATTATACAAAATCCACTCTCATTTCCACCACTACCCAAGCCACCTGATTTGAATTTGAATGCATTAGCCACTGGTTCTCATTCCTATACCAAAAAAAAAAAGACATCACATGCAAAAAGGAAGGGTAAATGAAGATCATGGTAATGAGGATGAGCAATGGGATCAAGTTTTTACCATACAACCTTGAGGACAAAGTTGATTTTTAGGCGGGGTGTATTGTTAGGGTATAAGGGGAAGGAGAAGTTAGTAAGATAGTTAGCATATTAATAAGTTAGTTAGTTGCATAAGGTGTTGTTTAGATATAAATAGGGTGTGAAGGCAGTTCATATTTTTTGTAAATTGAGCATTAGCTCTTTGTAAAGGAGAAATCCTTTGTGAAGGGGAAACCCTTGGAGGAGAGTCTTCTCCTATTTCTAGTTCTTTTCATTCAATAAAGAAACTTTCTTTTCTCTTTCTGTTTAATTCTTGGTTCCTAACAGGGTCAGTGGCTGCAAATCAAATAGAGGTTATACTTGATATTTTTCATCCATACAGGTCTTAAAAACCTATATCTATATGTTTAGCCTGTAAAAAGAGGTAAATAACAAAATATTAGGTTCGATAGCCAGGAATTATCATTGGAGGGTGCGGGGTTGTAAAGAAGGGGGTTGTAACACTGAAAGATGGTGACGCACATCATGGCTGCAACCACCATGACTAAAAATCCTCCAGGATCTAAGCCTTGTAGCCTTGTGGCAGCACTGTGCCACTCTGCTGCTATATTGTGTTATATACTGCTATTAATGATGTTAACTTGCATTGAAAGCTATTGTTGGAATTCAACATAGTAGTTTCACTCTTCATACTTTTAGCTCTTCCATAATTTTATGGGAACATTGTACTAGCTTCTTGCTGATAGATTTCACTTATTTCTCGTCGAATTTAAAATAGACATCCATCTCTCTTGTTTTTTATAAAGTGACATTTAATTCCTTATTTTATTTAATAACTAGCATGCTAACTAAAATCTAAACAAAATAAAATTATGAAGATTAAAAATTTAAGTTTTAAAATATAAATATTGAAGAAATAATTTATAAGCAAAAAAAAAATTGACGGATTTAGTTTTTGTTAAAATACAAAATATTATACTTTTCAACCAATTATAAATTGTAATATAAAAAAATAAAGAAGTTATAGTTTTATGAGAACATTGTTTTCTATATAAAATAAATAAATGGTTTTAAAATATATGGATTTATTTATTAACATTATATATATATATATATATATATATATATTAAATAATATTCAATCAATTAATTGTGGTAATGCATCACTATGCTATTTGTCATCCCAACTATGTTTATATTATACATTTTTTTAAACACTATTGTATTTATATATTTTATTAACATACTAAGACTTAGTTTAATGTCAATACTGATGTCAATCTATTAGATGAATCTTCAATTCCTTGTCCATAATTTCTTATTTAAACTACACCAATTTACAGATGGACTACATAAACACCTCCCACCCAAATTTTATTGGTGGAAGCAAGGCAATCGAAGCTGCAGTGCAACAGACCAAGTCTACTAGAGTTGCTTTACCAGTTTCTAGGGTGAAGGTGTACATGCAACAGAACAATCATACTCTCTGTTTTTCATGCTAGATGTGAATGCAGGTTGATGCTTTTCTATCTTTTGTTTTAAATTCTCTTAATTGCAAATAGGATGCACTAGAATCCGAGAAGGGACCAAGTGGGAAGTCTCGATCCATTCTTGCAAGACATGCAAATGGAGTAGTGGCTGATCAGGTATGTATGTAATTTTATCCTGATAGTTGACTATACTTTTTCCATAATATACATGTACAGCAGTTAATGCCTCAGAAATCAAAATAAGGGATATTATATTAGTATCATGTTCTGTTCTTTTCATTATTTGAGAGTTTTTCTTCAAATTAACAGGGTGTTCGCGTTGCAACGGATGTTGAGAAAGTTGTGACATCTGGTACATTGTTTTCTATAAAATGTTTGAGTTTGTTGAGGCATGTATTTTGTTATGAATTGGATTATGTGCTTTCCTAGTGGTTGTCTTCAATCAAGTGTCTTTGATGTATCAACCAGTGTCAATCATATTGTACATTTTCAATTCTTGAATGCATGATATTTTATCCCAGGAACCATTAGTGGATCAAGTTGGGGGATCTCATCCATTTTTGGTGGAGGTGATAACCGTGTATCCATGAAGGAAAATACACAAAGTAAACCACATACTGAACCAGTCCATAATGCGCAGTCATTCTCTACGATTCATTTGAGAGAGGTGTATATATATATATATATATATATATATGATTGATACCTTTGTTAGCTGGATCAATATGTCCTGTGGGTATATATATTTATATATATATTTTTATGTACTTTGGTTTTTGTAGCCCCCTCCTGTCTTGAGGCCATTAGAGGGCAATTCAGAGACAGAAGCTGTTGAAATCACAGTAACAAAGTTGCTTTTGAAATCATACTATGACATCGTCAGGAAAAATGTTGAGGATCTTGTCCCCAAAGCAATTATGCACTTCTTGGTACTTTATATTCTTTTTCTAGGCTCATTTTTTTTTTAATTTGATGTTGCAAATGATGAATGCAATTTGTGTGGTTTCTATATATATATATTTCCATTTCCTGATCTTTTCTACAATCTGAGTAAATGAAAATATATGTAGATCTGATGCATATCTTCTCACTTATTGGATATAGAGATGTATGTGACAATAGTTTCAGAACCCACAAGGTTTTTTGCCTAGTGCTTACAGGTTACAGGTTTTCCTCGTGCATGGTTAGAAGTACTACCAATTGTGTGAAAAATTGAACTGATTGATGAAGTTTAACATTAGTTAGGAATGAGTTAATTAAACGACCACATAAGCAAAATATTGTCTCCACTACTGTAAGGTTTTGGGTATAGATGTAGTGTCAAGCCTCTATTGTGGTTTGTTTCTAAACTATTGATAAAGATCTCCTAGTTTTTCGATTCTCCTTCGGTGCCTAATGATAATGAAATTATGAGATATTTTCTAGATGTTGTTGTACTCTCCCCTCAATTTAAAGCTTACTAAGCCTTAAGCTCATTACTATTAATCACACCAAAAAGATAACGAACTAAGAATGTAACAAATGACAATGTCTGGGAGTTTAGATGGGTGTATTCCATTTAAGACTGGAGATGGGGCCCTGATTGCATCTATGGGACTGAAGGAGACGGGGCCTAGACAGCTTAAGGGACAGATAAAACTGATGTAAGATGTAGCCACTGCAACTCAGAAAGTCACAGTATCAAAATGATCATCGATGCAAGAAAGGTCACCACTGCTTTTATTGTTAATGAACTGTTGACTGATTTTTAAAGAGGATAAAAACGAGTAATTTTATTATTCCTGCTCAACCTCAGTGTAAAACAGCCAAACTTGACACCCAGAACCTACCAAATCTGATTACTCAACACAGTCATGGGATGGTGAGCATACACTATGCGAGATGGACCTGTGATAGAACATCAATTGATAGGGACACAAATTCTATATATCATTGATGAACCTGCTGTCTTAGAGACAGAAGTCTCCTACGGTGTATTTTCTGCCCATAAACTACAAGTAACAACACACTTGTTTAATTACAACCCAACTACCTAACACATAACTGTTGTCAGTTATTTTGTAAGAATACCTTCCATTATGAAGTGTTGGGCTGCCAGACAGTAATTTAGGCCACTCTTGGCACTCTTATCACTCCGCAAATGCACAATGTGATGTCTCTTTAATTGCAGTTAAGCAGTGTCGTGATCTACTGAAATATATGAAATATGAAACTGCTGGTAAATTATTATTTAAGATATGCTCTAAAATATTTTATACAACATTGATATTTGTGAGACTGAGACATTTCTTATATTCTAACTGTTAACATTCATTATAACTTAACGTATTCTATATAATTTGAACATATTTGAATTTTCATTCTTTTCATAACTAGGTAAACAACACCAAAAGAGAGCTGCACAATGTCTTTATTGAAAAACTATACAGGTATTGTATAGTGATTGTAGCCTATTGATTCTTATTATTTATTCTGGAATTTATGTATATTATCTGATGTGGTTTACTTATTATTCTATGCTTGATACATTTAAACCAGGGAGGATCTGTTTGAAGAGATGTTGCAAGAACCTGATGAGATTGCCAAGAAAAGAAAACACTGTCGAGAACTGCTCCGAGCTTATCAACAGGCGTTTAAAGTGAGTGCCTGTAATGCTTTGATCGGGCATTATCTAACAGAAGTTCTGTATTGTTTTATATGACAGTTTGGTTCTCCTTTAAAGGTTGTTCTACATGATTTCCTGTGGAAATGTTCATGATCATCTTTGGTGCTAACGTTGGTATACACTCATAAAAATCAAAGCCTTGGATTATAAAACTCCCTTTATGTGTGGGGTCCAGCCAAGGCTTAGATCCATTGTGTGTCTATACACTATAGTAGGCAGTCTTGTCTTTTATTTATTTTCAAAAGGATAATTCTACCACTGGAATGTGTGACGGCTGGTGAAAACAATTTGGTTCTCTTTGATTCTAGTTGCTGACTATTGATATCTCTGAGAAAAATAGATTAACTGAAATATTATTTTTATTATATCAATACAAAGAGATGATATAAGATATATACAAGAGACCTAAACTATTTTAGGAAATATAATAACTCTATTTTATGCTAGGATCCCTTGATTTATGGGATTGTTCCTAATTATTCAAATCTGTACAGATTACAAGGAAATATACAAATTTCCTTATTTATTCTTTCCTAAAATACTATTTGATTTCTCACACTCCCCCTCAAGCTGGTGAATAGATGTTTTCCATTCCCAGCTTGGATACAATCTTCTCAAAATTATGGCAGCCCAGTCCCTTGGTAAGAATGTCTGCAATTTGGTCTTGAGAGGACACATATGGAGTGCATATCAAGCCACTATCAAGCTTTTCTTTGATGAAGTGTCTGTCTACTTCAATATGCTTTGTTCTATCATGCTGCATTGGGTTGTGGGCTATACTGATTGTTGACTTATTATCACAATAGAGCTTCATAGGTTCTTCCCACTTTATCCTCAAGTCTTCTAAGATGATTTTAAGCCATAGCAACTCACATATACCTTGTGCCATGGCTTGGAATTACTGCTTCGACGACTGGACCGAGCCACTTACACCCTGCTTTTTGTTTCTCCAAGTCACAAGATTTCCTCCAAGAAAGGTGCAATATCCTGTAGTTGACCTCCTATCCACAATTGACCCTGCATAATCGGCATCGAGTATAGGCTTCAAGCTTCACATTACCATTCCTTTTGAATAGAATCCCTCTTCCTGGAGTTCCTTTAAGGTACTTGTAAAATTACGTGGGCAGCTTGTAAATGGGTCTCCTTTGGGCTATGCATAAATTGGCTAATTAAACTCACTTGCATAGGCAATATCCGGCCTGGTATGTGACAAATATATAAGTCTGCCCACTAATTTTTGGTACATATCTTTTTCAACGACAACATCTTCTTCTGCATTTCCAAGCTTTAGGTTTGGTTCTAATGGGGTACTAGCGAGGTTTGCAAGCTGCCTTGCCGGTTTCCTTGAGCAAATCGGTGATGTATTTCTGCTGAGATATAAATATCCCTTTCTCGGAGTGGGCAACTTCAATTCCCAAAAAATATTTTAGTTTTCCCAAAGTCTTGATCTCAAATTCCTTGCCTAAGCATTGACTCAATAATTGTTGCTCTTCTTTATTATCTCCAGTTAATATTATGTCATCCACATACACCAATAATACTTGTTACTCCCCCGACTTGGAATGTTTAAAAAACAAAGTATGGTCCCCTTGGCTTTGTTTGTAACCCGGACTTGTCATAACTTTAGTAAACACTGCCAAACCATGCACGGGGGACTTGTTTTAACCCATATAATGCCTTTTTCAACTTGCAAACGAGTGTTGGCAGCAACATCTTTACCATATCCGGAGGTATCTCCATATATATTTCTTCTTCAAGGTCTCCATGTAGGAAAGCATTCTTAACATCAAATTGTTCCAAGTTCCAACCATAATTGGCAGCAAGGGACAATATCACCCTAACTGTGTTCATTTTGGCAACCGGAGCAAAGGTGTCCAAATAATCAACTCCATAGGTTTGGGTGAACCCTTTGTCAACTAGTCTTGCCTTATATCTCTCAATTGATCCATCGGCCTTGTATTTCATTGTATAGACCCATTTACATCCAACTGGTCTCTTTCCTATTGGTAAGGTGACTAACTCCCAAGTGTTGTTCTTCTCCAATGCCTCCATCTCTTCATCCATGGCTTGCCTCCATTTTACGTCGGACAATGCCTCGAGATAGGGTATTAGGTAGAAGTACGGTGTTTAGGTTTACTAGGAAGGTTTTATGGGTAGGAGAGAAATTTTTAAAGGACAGGTAATTTGAGAGAGGGTAGAGTGGTCTGTTTGGTGCATTTTCTTGTTCCTTTTCTAATGGCAATTGGGAGGTCGGGATCATTTTGGGTTTCAATTTCAACACTTGCACAGTTGGAGAAAAAATTGTTACCTCTTTTTGTGGAGTCGAGTTGGATTCTTGAACATGGCTTGATCCTGGAATGGCCTTAGTCTTCCTTGAGTACACCAGACTTCTTACCAAATTTTCCAGTTTCAACATCTTGATCAGCTTCACAATTAATTTCACTTTCTTGACCAACTTCCTTTGCTTGACCAATTCCTTGACTTGTTTCATTTGTTACAACTTCAATTTGATCTTCAATTTGATTTTGTTTAGGTTCAAATATCAAGTCCGGAAGAATGGGAAAACCAGAATTACTACTTTCAATATGATTTCGTTTAGGTTCAAATGTCATGTCCGGAAGAATGGGAAAACCGAGAATCACTACTTTCCTTATCTTCCACGAAACTCTCCCCTTGAAGATAAGGTTGATGGAAATAGCCCTCTTGTTCATTGAAGGTAACATCCCTAGACACAAAGAATTTTTTGGATGGGGGGTGGTAGCATTTATACCCTTTTTGAGTGGGTGAGTAACCAACAAAGACACACTTTAAGGCTCTAGGATCAAGTTTTCCCCTGACTGTACTATGAATATGGACATATGAGATGCACCCAAAAACTCTTGGTTTAAGATTATTTGTAGTAGACAAGTTTGGATAGAAAGACGATAAAACTTCCATAGGGCTTTTTGATCCTAAGACTCTAGAGGGTAGTCTATTGATAAGGTATGTTCGTTGTAAGGACTGACTTCCCCCAGAAATTTTTGGGACACTTTTTGGAACAACAATGCCCGAGTCCGATTTAATAGATGTCCATTTTTCCTCTCTGCCACCCCATTCTGTTGTGGTGTTTTGACACAAGAGGACTCATGAATTATACCTTCTTTTTGACAAAAAGAATTAAGGACATGATTGAAGTAATCTTTGACATTATCCGACCTAAGCCTCTTAATATTAACACCAAACCGATTTTTTATCATGGAGTGGAAGTTTAGGAAGACAAAGCCGACTTCGATTTTTGTTTAAGTAGGAAAACCCAAGTGACCCTTGTACGAGTCATCTATAAAGGTGACAAACCATCGAGTACCGGACACATTTGGAATATTAGAAGGTCCCCATACATCGGTATGAACAAGATAAAAAGGGAAATTGCTAATTCTATTACTTATTGGAAAAGATATACGTTTGTGCTTAGCAAGTTCACACACCTCACAATGAAGACTCTCGACATCTAACTTGGTAAACAGAGAGGGAAATATAATTTTGATCACTCCAAAAGAGGGATGTCCCAACCGACAATGATAAAGCATGATTTTTTCTCTGTTGGTCATCAAGGATTCAGATATGAAGGAGTGAGAGATTCTATTCTTGCTTAGGCGAGACTTGGATCTTCGAGATAATAAAGGTCATTCCATTCTCTAGCATGTCCATTCATCCTCCCAGAATCCTTATCCCGAAATACACAATGATCGTTGGAAAAAACAACTTTACATGACAAATCCTTTATAAGTTTTTGTATAGACACTAGGTTCGTGGACAACTTTGGGACATGGAGAACGTCTTTTAAGGTTATTAAAGGATTGATTTGGATATTTCCTTGACCAATTGCAGTTATAAGGGTTCCATCTCGTTGTGGCAATTTTCTTGTTCTTGGGACATGGGGAATATGTGGAGAAGTGTTTGGCTAATGGTGTCATGTGATCTCGTGGCTCCGAGTCCAATATCCAATAATGGTTAAAAGGCGTATCCGAGACATTTAATCCAAAAGAAGGTGGAAACTTACCCGAGTATGCCAAAGAACACATACCTGTAGGTTTTTCCGACTTACTAAGAATGGTTTTCACCCTTTCTATCTCCTCTTCCCTTGACATTATAGCAAAAAGGTGCGATGCAACAACAATGCAGGCTGTCGTCTTAGGATTATGAAAAATGCAGCAGCAATGCAGGCTGTCGTCTTAGGATTAAGAAAAATGCAGCAACAATGTAGGCTGCCGTCTTAGAGTTAAGAAAAATGCAGCAGCAATGCAGGCTGCCGTCTTAGGATTACAAAATATGCAGCAGCAATGCAGGCTGCCGTCTTAGGGTTTATCGAGCGCAGACAGAGCTTCCTAGATCGGAAGCTCTGATACCATCTGAGAAAAATAGATTAATTGAAATATAATCAATACAAAGAGATGATATAAGATATATACAAGAGACCTAAACTATTTTAGGAAATATAATAACTCTATTTTATGTTAGGATCTCTTGATTTATGGGATTGTTCCTAATTATTCAAATCTGTACAGATTACAAGGAAATATACAAATTTCCTTATTTATTCTTTCCTAAAATACTATTTGATTTCTCAGAATATCTGTTTTTCATATGGGAAAAACAAGTTAATTGGTTTTTTTGACTTTCTCTTTTGAAACCTTCTGTGAATAATCAAGCTCACATTCACTATGGTTGTAACACGATGCTGTCTACATCCATGCATTTGATCTATCATTTCTACGGAATCAGTTTGATCTCATGACATCCAGATGTATATATTGTTGAAGATTTGTTTATTTTATCTTGAAATCCATCAGCTTATCTACATTGGTTGCAAATGTAGTTGGTCTCTGAACACACCTCTTCCTTTTGAACAGGACTTAGACGAACTGCCGCTTGAAGCTGAAACAGTTGAAAGGGGCTACAGTTTGCCTGAAACTGCTACTGGCTTACCTAAAGTTCGTGGATTGCCGACATCATCTATGTATTCTACTGGTAGTTCGGGAGACTACTATGAAGCTTCTCCCATGAACCCAAAGTCTAAAAGGTCACATTCTGGGGAGCTCCAATCACCATTGCATGCTAATATGGTCACCAATGGAAATGGAGGGCCATACACGTCAGGTTTTGATCTCATGGCTGATGAATGAGCTCCCTAATTATGCTTGTTATTACAAAAAAATTGGCTTTGTTTACTCTTATGCAATTTCTGAGGTTTGGAACTCCTGTTGGAGCCCTATTTAAAAAATAAATAGAAAATAAATACTCCTGCTGGAGCTGGAGTGCATTCCATTATTATTTCTCATCAAAATGCTCCGAAGTGTTGGATGGAGCTTATTTTATCCAAGTTCCCTTTTGGTCTCACACAGCGTTATGGTTATTTACCAAGGCTCCGAAGAGAATACAGGAGCAGATGAGTTTTCAGTTGAGGTACTTTTTTCATTGTATTCATGTATATTACGATTACCATTTTTGTTTGGTGACTATTAGATATTCAGCATAGGAATTTTCTTGGTTGATGCAGTTTTTTCATTTTAGTTCTCACCGAATGTCTAACAGATTGACTATATGAAACAGCTACAAAAATAGCTGGCAATATTTTTTTTCTTCATTATGATGCTCCTTATGATTTAGTCCTAAAGAGGATGGCTACGAGACGGACAATCATAGTGTTATTTGTTCTGTTAAGAAAAAAATTTGTTTACTACTTGTCGAGTATCCGATTTAAAAAAATTTACTGATTTTTATCATACATGCGGATATTTACCCATATATTTTTTATTTTATTTTAAATAAAATTACGTAAAATTAATATTTTTAAAATAAACATTTTAATATATTTTTTGCATAAAATATAATTTAAATAAGTTGTATTACAAAACATAAATTTAAATAATTTTTTTTAAATAATATTAATTTCACAAATTTGGATAAAAATGTAAATTTTAATTTTAATAGTTAATATTTTTTCTTATCAATTTAAAATTTATTTTCAAAATATTAAATAAAAATTAATATACGGTGAATAGTATGAGATCCTACTCAGTTAATAATCAGATAATTTAAATAACCTAAAAATATACATATAATATATTCCTTTAATATTCTTAGCGAATGTTATATGCGAATGTATAGTGATACCTTCTTTTTTTCAATCCCTAGTCCTAAAATAAGAGGCGTCATTTTATGCAAAGATATAAAATAAGAAACAACGTCACACCACACCATGCGGCTTGGGGAGAGAAATGTGTGTAATTCTTTTTTATTAGAGTGAAAATCTCTAGTATGATAATTATTTAAAGCTTTGTATTAAAAAAATAAAAATAAAAAATTAAGTTATATATTAATAAATAAAAAATTATAATTTAATGTCTTAAAATTTTGAATTTGAAGTTAAGATAATATCATATTCCCTTTAGATTTACTTACGATAATCCCTAAAAAAAATACTTAACGTCAAATACTCATGCAATAATTCAAACATTATGCATAAAAATTTCACAAAGAAATAGATAAGCACAAATCAAAAGATGTGAAACAGTGATTAAATAGATAAGTGCAAAAGCTGTGTGGTTTTATTTTGCCTTTCAGGATAAATATATATTTTTAATATACAATGTCGTGCGTGTTCAACATATGTTAAAAAATAAGCATTCATATGAGAAGTACATTGGACATACAAATTGATTTGATATTTTAATTTGTAATGCACTTTGGACGCATGTTAAAAACATGTGTGCATCTTTGCAAGATTAAATATACATGTTATGTTTGGTAAACCACGGCCATAATAAAAGAGACATAAGGTATTGTTTGTCCAATCCATCACATATTGTCATATAAACTATATATTATTGTGGGGCTGTCCAATGTATTGGTCTTACAAAGTACTTTGAATACTCTTCTTTAGACCCAATGCTTCAAAATGGTTTTAAATTTTAAAACTTAGAAAGAAAATCATTAAACAAAAATAAGTCTCTCTTTTTAGTTAAAATTAAATTACTGAAAGAGAGGAAAATTTCACCCTTTATTTACTTATATGTTAATCCTTTATTAATTTTTGGTCATTATTCAATTTTTAAAAATTAAAATAAATATAAAACATATGATTTTAGAAAAAAAAGTCACAATACAAGAGTTAAATTTAAAAGACATTCATTATTTCATAACTATAATTTTTAATAACTAAGATTTAAAGTAAATATATTATTAAAGACTTCTTTTCCATTATTAATTTATTTAAATCCAATTTACTAAAAGGAACATATATATAATTATTAAAATGTCTAATTGATAAATTAAGGAATAGGAAACTGAATAACTAATCAAAATATAAATAAAATTAATGAAAATAAAAGAAAAATATATATTTCATAAGATATTGTTGCTACGTCAAAATTGACTATTTTTTTCATTATGATATAAATTTTCTAGTATACAGTAATGAGCACATATTAAAAAAATACACAAAAAATATTAAAATTAAAAAAAATACACAAAAAGATATTTAAAAAATTTGTTATAAATATTTTTTACATGAACAATATATCAAAATAATTATTTTTTAAATTAAAATTATTTTATACGCTCTATCGTGTGTTCGAAGTACACATAAAGTATGATAATTATTTTTTTATATATAAAATTTAACCCTGTGTGACAGCTTAAAAAAATTACTAATATGTATTTCGTAATATTTTTTTAATATAATTTGTATTAACTTTGAAATCTTTAATTCAATGTGTTTCAATTTCAGAACATTAAAAAAGAGAAAAAAAAAATCTAGATTGTTCGATCAAGACGAGTAAACAGCCAACGCAAACACGACACGTTCCCACCGACTATTCCGATAAATTTAGGGTTTAAATAGGCCATTCACGTTTCACAAACAGTATATGCTATCAACATAAACCTCTTATTCGTTCTCTCTCCCCGAGTCGTTTCGAATTTCTTTACCCTAGTTTCAACCATGGCACGCCGTAGCTCCGGTAGTAAAATATTCCATCTCAGTTCTCTTTATTCAAATTGTTCATTATTTATTATTAATTATATAACATCTATCTGTTCAAAATTTTGCCTTCGATGATTTCTAGGGTTTATTTTCCACCTTTTGGGCTTGGGTTAAATCTCTCATGGTTCATGTCAATTTCTCTTGTTTTATTAACTTATTGCCTCTAAGTTATATGTGTGTTAGAGGTTTGATTCAGGAATCGTGTATTCCCTCATGTTTTATGTTAATGTTTTGAGTTCGCAGTTTTTTATGTTTTCTCTCTCTGTGGTTTTTAACACTCAAAACCATTATACGCAATACAAAATCAAGGAATATTTGATGTTAGAACAGATGTAGGCACGACGAACATGATAATTGTGAAGAAGACCTGATTAGGGTCCTTCTGAAACTTGTTCCTCTTCCTTGGCTTTCATCTTGTGTAATCGTCATATCACATCCAGTCTGAAAAAAACTAAACTATTGGCTTGAGTTATTTTCTCGCTATGTTCTAGAGATATCTAGAATTCACATCATAGAGTAGCACCAATGCGTATACAGTCATTAATGTTCCAAATTAAGACTTGAAAAATATACCTTCCTTGTTTTGACTAACTTTCACAGCAATGCTTTAATTGAGACTCCTGTTTTATTAAATAATTAGTTTACATGATTATTGGCTCGTACACGTGTTTGAACTTCAATATGAAATGTACTGTAGCTTTAGAACAATGAAAAGATAAGCTGTTATAGGATTGACTTGAACCAATCTATCCATTTGATTTCGGATGAATCAAATTGAAGAAAAACTCGTAAAGCTGATTCACTGCTTTCATGATTGAATCAGTTTTGCAAAATAATTGCCACCAACAAATTCAAGAGAAATCTTCAGCTCTAGTGAGCTTTAGAAGGGAAGGAAGAAATGGGAATTATTGGTGAAAATATGATCACTTGAGTCAATACTGACATATTTTTGGTCAAGATAGATATTTAATTTAGAGTTTCATATGCCAAACTTCTTGTTGTATTATGAGATTGACGGTAATGTGTTTCTTTTGGGTGAACTAATGGTTGGATCATCTTTTTCCGTCATGGTACTCATTTCTTTCATTGCTTTATGTAGGAAGATCTGCCCGTCCTGCTCCTCGGGCAGCACCATCTCGTCCTGCTCCTCAGCCAGGTATGCATGAATATGATATGGGGATGGTTTATTAAACTTACATATTTTGATAAGATGCAATTTTAGTCTTCCAACAGAAAATTGTTGGACTAACCTTTTTTTCTGATGTACACTGCACTGATGTCATGATGCAGCTCACCATGCTCCTCCTCCTGCCCAAGTTCAGACTGGTGGTGGATCTATTCTTGGTGGCCTTGGCTCAACTATAGCTCAAGGTATGTCGAGGAAGATAAAAGTTAGATTTTCGTATGTAATCATATCCATTCCATGTTATTATCTGGTGTTAATTTTTCTTTATTTATTTATTCAGGCATGGCTTTTGGCACTGGAAGTGCTGTGGCACACAGGGCTGTGGATTCAATAATGGGGCCTCGTACCATTCAACATGAAACAGTTGTCACTGAGGCTGCTGCACCTGCAAATACTTTTGGTGGTGATGCATGCAATGTTCATACAAAGGCATTTCAGGAAGTATGCTGTTTTACCTATTACTTATCCTTATTCATTGAATAAAGTTTTGGTACATAATCTGTTAACATTTCCTTAGTTGCACTTATTTGTTGTTTTTTGCAGTCATATGTGCCATTTATGATAGAAATACCAGTTTATTTGTGCTTAGAAATATGTGGGAGTTAAAATTATCTTCTGCTGTTTGTTAAATAATCAAGTGTGGAAGGGTGGAAATGGGAGGGGGAATTTGAACTTATATATGAATGGTTGTCAGTGTAGTTCAAGAGGGGAGATGAAGTGAGCATTGAGAGACTTTTATAATTCATGAACAATTTTTTTTAAACCAAGATAAAATACTTTTCAAATCACAGTTTTATGTTAAGGATGTTGTTTTTATTGTTTTTAACCTTTCATGAAAAATGAAAGAATGATACAAGTCATGTATAATATGCACGAGATAGGAAGAAAAAAACACCAACAATTGGGAGTCAAGCTAGTTTATAAACATCTTATTTCCTTATCCCATCTTACAAATCTACTCAATGATCAAACACAAGACCTTGACATCTTCATTTGCACTATCATTATGGTGGTTGAGAGTATCAGGTACTTGAAATCTATACTTCTAGCTTCAAGACTCTATGAACAATCATATTATAGGAGATTGTACGGAACATGGGCCCTCGATTTTAATTATGTACATATGCTATTTGTCTAATGATAAATTTTGGTTCATTGTCTATATGAATTTGTTGGTTGAGGTAACATTTCATTAGTTGATCATATTTGTCTGATTGCAGTGCATAAACAGCTATGGAAATGACATTAGCAAGTGCCAGTTTTACATGGATATGCTAGCAGAATGCAGAAAGAACTCTGGAGCCTCATTGAGTGCCGCATAACTTCAATTGCCCAATTCTGAGTTTGCATCAGTGCCCTGTGTCTCCTATGGTTAAATTGACAATTTAATAAAGTGTCATTTGTCCGAAGATGCATACAGACTTATATTTCAGTTTTAATTTGGTGCCCTTTTTTTGATACTTTCAATTGGTTAATCTTATGGATTTGTGTGAATTTGGGGCCATTTGAATTATATGAGCATGTTCATTTATAGTTGCTGTATGGTTTTTTGCTTCAATTGTGTGGGAAAGCTACATCTTGTCTTCTTAAACCTTTTAAGTTCTCTTTACTTTCACAATAGACCATCAAATTTGTTTGACTATATGTAGGAACTTTTTCAAACCTTTTAAGTTAGAATTAAAATTATACTCTTCAAATATCTTGGTATGATGTTGTAGTTGTGGATTGTGTTAGGATGGTAAAATGGGTTCATTTATTTTATTTTGGTCCATTTTGTTTTTGGTATGTTAAAAGTTAGCGGGATGGATTAGCTTATTATAATTATGGGAGTTATAGGTTTTGGTTCATTCTACTAAATGACTAGTTTTCATATTTTTTATTTTATTATATTATTTTAAATTAAATATTTTAATAAATTTAATAATAAAATTATTATTATCAATAATTTAATATATATATATATATATATAACTTTAAATATGAGCAATTTTGTTATACTAATTAAATTATTAGCAATTTTAAATATGTTTACCCTAATTTATTTCATACCATAAAAATTTATTATTATAATGCATTATTTTTTAATAAATATTACTATTAATATTAATATATCTACCAGTTATGTAGGACATTGGAGATATCGGACCCATTACACTTGTCTTGTCAGTTAAAAAAAGTGTGGATAAAATATAGCCAGTGTGTTTGTTCATTTAATTAAGACCGTGACATTCCAACTAACTTGTTTGGCAAGGCATAATTTAAATATGACTAGTTTTAGGTTTTAAGTACATATGCTTAATTTATTTCATACAACAAATTTATCGAAATATTACACTCATAATTCTTAATTTTTTTAGTTGATGTATAACTACTTAATTTCTTAAAGACATATCATCCAAAACCAATATAAATCATCATGGGTGATATTGGACGAGGGGAAAGCTATTATTATAATGGTGTAATTTTTTTAATTATTGATTTAGATAATTTTTGTAGTTGTATTTGAAAAATTGTCTTTATAACTAGAAAACTTGTGTTTTTTAATATATTATAAAACATGATATTATTTTTTATTCAAATGAGTAGGTAAAATTATGTTATTGATTTTTTATTTTATTATTATTATTATTATTATTATTATTATTATTATTATTACTGTAATTAATAAACAACAATTAAAATTAATAATAGTATCTTTTCGTTAATAAAAGTATCAAAAAATAAAATGAATTGAATAGATCAATTTAAAATATATAATAAATATATTAAGTTAAATAAAAAAATTATCATCTAAAATGAAAAGTAATGATTTAATCAGGTTAATTCATGTTATAAAATTTTTAAATAAAAATAATATTATTTTATTAAATATATTATAAATTAATGTAATAAAAAATACTTATTTTAAGAATAAATATGTAATATATAATAATTAATTTTTATTTTAATTATTATATTATTAAAAAATATTAATAACAATAAACATAAAATTTTTAATTTTTATTTAGAGAGTGAATAAATTTGTCCTGCTGTAATTTTTTTCTTTTATGAAAAAACAACAGGAGATGCAAATATCTGTCACAAAGGAAATGATTTGTAGTCACACAAATATGATGACATCAAGATAAGGAAACACAGCTAGCATTGTACAGGAGACGAGTATTGATGTGTATTAATTATATCACTATTTGTACTTTGCCCTTTTTCTTAATTTGCCTTTATACCTTCGAATTTGAACTAAAATAATTAAAATATCATTTTAATAATTTTTATTTCAAACTCTAATCTTTTCTTTTATTTTTTATTTTTGAAAGTTTTGCCCCTCCATTATTCATTTTCTTTGAATATATATATATATATATATATATATATATATATATTTTTTGTTATTATTTCAGTTTAAAATGTTTCAATACTTAAATATAAGTAATAGTTAGCAACATATATCTATTATATATTTTTACATTGAAATTGTTTCAAATGATTTGATTTAAAACAATTTTATAAAAATCAAATTGTCGGAATACTAATTTAAAATAATTTTTTTATTGACTTTTTTAAAAATATATTTTGGAACATTTATTTTAGAATATATTTTTAAAAAAGTCAAATTAAAAATACATCCCAAGTGTTTCTCAAATAACATATCTTGGAATAGGTTAAAAAAATATTAATATAAAAATACATTAATTAGGTGTTCCGACATATATTTTAAAAAAATTAATCTAAAAATATATTTTCAAAAAATAAATTTTAGAGCATGTTTTAGAAAATTTTTATTTAAAATTATATTCTCGATCCAAAAAGATGAAAATAGTTATAAAAGTAAAATGGAATTTAATTTGATTAAGAGAGTGAAAAAAAATTTTTCATGACTTAGAAAAAATAACCTACTCTATTTAAAATAATTGTGAGTAGCGTAAAATTAAAATAACCTCGACTAATATTTATGAATAAAAAACTATTCTCATTAACGTTAGTTAAAAAAATTAGAAAAAGAAATCTTATTTATATATTAATAAATTAGTACGTGATAATAATTAAATATTTTATTAAAATAATAAATAAAATTAAAATTTAATAGATTAATTTTTTTTAAATGAAAAATTTCCTATCCAAATACAAAATAAAGATTTATTTCCATTTATTAATTTATTTAAATCCAATGTAATAAAATGAAAATAGATAATTATTACCTTGATAAATTAAAGGAATAATAAATTGAATAACCATCAAAATGAAAACAAGAGACTAAATAAAAAGAAATTAACTACATAAATTAGTAAATAATAGAAACACGTTAAAAGTGATAATTATTTTTTTACAAATACTAAATCGTGTTTGACAGATTAAATTAAAAAATATTTGTTATTATTAAAGATTGTCTAACAAGACAAGGGCAGCCAATAGAAACACGACACGTTCCCAATGACTGTTTCAAAGACTTAACAGATATTGGCGTTTAACAAACAGCGAAAGCTATAAAAATAAAGCTGCCTTCCTTCTCCTTGCCTCTCCCCCATCGATTTGAATTTATTTGCCGTAGTTTCAACCATGGCTCGCCGTAGCTCCGGTGGTAAAATCTCCCATCCCGATTCTCTTTATTCAAATTGTTCATTATTCGTTATATAACATCTATCTGTTCTATTTTTTCCCTTCGATGATTTTGGAGAGTGGGCCTTGGATAAATCTCTCCCGCTTTCTGTTATTTATTAGGCTAAACAAGAGAAAACCACATAAGATGATTTGATTCTGTGTATTTTCTTTTCTCCCGAATGTTGGGGAGTTGTTGATGGTTTTATCACGCATGCTTCTTTTAATTTCTGATGATGTTTGCTTTCAGTTTTGGTATGTGCTGATGGTTATGCTAGTGTAACTTCTGTGCTTTAGCCTCGTACATTCCATGGTTTAGGTCTATCTGTGACCATCCTAACCCTATCAACAAATGGTGCGAGTATACTGATTTCAGGCTATGGGTTGGGTTAGGTCTGAAAATATCAGCCTGTAACGATGCATCCATGCATTTAGATATTTATTTATTTTTAAATTTTTAAATGATATGAAATTCTATTGCCTTATTGATTAGGAAATTTTTATAAATTGGTCAAGTCATTTAGTGCTACATTGGTGGTATACATCCCATGGTAGGGGCACTAGTGGAAGGATGACCTCTTGTATGATGATAGCACATCCTATTCTTAAAGGACTTGGTTGTTTCCACTTTAGCTAGAATCTTATTAGTATGGTTGGTGGGATTGCATGAACTACAATCTGCTTCATATGATTGGTTGAGTCTTCTTTCACCCAGTGAATGCAGATCACATGCACTATGGTTTGGGAGGCCGTTGGGGGCCTAGTGCCTGACTGCTTCAGCAATGGCGGTTGACATCCTTTTTTTATAAGGAAGCCTGGCAATGCAAGTGAGGATGGTGTGGCCAGTGGGAGGTGAATTGAAACTCAGAATTGAAGATTGATGGATGGTGTGGTGACAGGGGAGAAAAAACTAAACTATTGGCTTGAGAGTTTTCTTTGGTAGGTTCTAGATATATTAAGTAGAGTGAAGATCATAGAGAAGCACCAATGTGTATATTGTCATTAATGTTCTAAATCAATAATTGTAAAATAGATCTTCCTTGTTTTGATACCTTTCTCTTCAATGTTTGAATTGTTACTTTGGTTTATTTAATAAATAGTTTTATCTGGTTATTGAGTGATACATTTGTTTGGACTTCAACATGTAATGTATTGTAGCTTTTGAGCTATATTAGGGTAAGCCATAATGGGATTAGCCCGAACCATTCTACCCATTTGATTTCAGATAAGTCAGGTTGAAGATGAACTCTTAAAGCTGATCCACTGCTTTCATGATTGAATCACTTCTGCAAAATACTTTCCACCTATCCAAATTCATGAAAAATCCTGAGCTCTGGTGCGATCAGAAGGGAAGGAAACAAATGGAAAATTATTGGTGAAAATATAATCACTTGAGTCAATACTAAAATATTTTGATTCAAGATACATATTTTATTTAGAGTTTCATATGCTGAACTTTTTGTAATATGGGATCATACGGTAATATGTTTCTTCTGGTTGAACTAACGGTTGGGTAGTCTATATTCTACATGGTAATGTTGTTTTCTACTTATGTGACTTTATTGTTTCATTCCTCAATGTAGGAAGATCTGCCCGTCCTGCTCCTCGTGCAACATCAGCTCGTCCAGCTCCAGGTATGCATGAATACGATAAGGGGATGGTTTATTAAACTTCAAAGCTTTTAAAAGATGCAATTTTAGTCTTCCAACTAGAAATTGTGGAACACTTTTTTTCTCTGATGTACATTATTACATTGATGTCATGATGCAGTTCACCATACTCCTCCATCCCCTGCTCAGAGTGGTGGTGGCATTTTATCAACCATAGCCGAAGGTATTAAAGGAAGATGGAAGTTACATTTTCCCATGTAGTCATATCAAAAGTAAAATTCCATGTTGTTATCCAGTGTTGATTTTTCTCTTTTTGTTTATTTTTCAGGCATGGCTTTTGGCACTGGAAGTGCAGTGGCACACAGGGCTGTGGATGCAATAATGGGTCCTCGTACTATTCAACATGAAGCAGTTGTCACCGAGGCTGCTGCTGCTGCTGCTGCACCTGCACCCACTGCAAATACTTTTGGCAGCGATGCATGCAATGTTCCTACAAAGGCATTCCACGACGTATGTTGTTTACATAGCTTTTATCCTTATGTTGATTAATGGTTTTGGATAATATGCTGGTTAACTCTTAATCTCTATTTATGATATAAATACCAATATATTTGTGCTTAGAAAGATGAGGGAGTTAAAATTTATCTTCTACTGTTGGGCAAATAATGAAGATTAGCAAATCTGCTAAGCAATACTGTTATAATCTATCTTTTGGAAGGGTGGAAGTGGGATTTTGAACTTATATACGAATGGTACGTCAGTGTACATATATAATAGGATGTGCAATATAAAAATTAGAATTTAATTAATACACTTTCTCATTACGTCCAGCAATGATAGCTGATGATTTTCTGAAGAAGTTACTATTGTTCTCGGAATGATCCAATCGATTAAGTATTCTATTTCTTAAATTATACAGATACTCTTATTTTTACTTCCTGATTTGTGGTGATTCTGAGACTGCATGGAAAAAGTAACTCCACTTGTGGCAGTCATATTATTTCAGTTTTTAGGGACGCTGGGCACTCATTTCTTAATTATGTATATGTGCTGCTATATGGAGTCTGTTTAAGGAATAATTTTGATTGACTGTCTAAATGAATTTGGCAGTTGAGATAACATGACATTAGTTGATTATTTTCGTGTACATGTGATTGCAGTGCATAAACAGCTATGGAAACGACATTAGCAAGTGCCAGTTTTACATGGATATGCTAGCAGAATGCAGAAAGAACTCTGGAGCCTCATTGAGTGCTGCATAGTTTCAATTGTCCACTTCTGAGTTTGCATCAGTGCCCTGTGTCTCCGATGGTTAGATTTGGAAATTAATAAAGTGTCATATATTTGTCCGAATGTGGATACTGTGAGAACAAAATCCCACATATGTGGGTACTTCAAAGGGGATATGGATGAGTAGTTATATAAGAAACCACATACCCCCATTCTATCCATCCCAAATTTTCTTTCTTTCTCTAGTATTAAAAAGGGTTGTCATTCTTAGGACTAGAGAAAGGGTGTGTAACTTTTCTTCCTATTATAAAATTTCTACTTTTGTCTATTATTGCTATTCAATTTTTCTCTTCTCTATTTTGGTTGATTTCTTGTGCAAGTAGTCTGATACCTAATAGTGGTATCAGAGCCACGTTCTTATTCCTTTGCGCTAGTCACTAGAATAGTGTTGGTAAAATTCTTAGTATGCTCTGTGGTTGCAGTTTAATCTGATCTTCCACATCAGAAAAAGAGTTTTTACTGGAAAAGGTATGGTAGTGTGAAACTGTTGTCTGGGGAAGTTCTGGCTAGGAAAGACTTGGTACTTAAGTGTGTCCATTAGTGACTCACCTCTCTTTCCTGGGAACTTACCTGGTATACTAGTTCACGGTCTACTACTATTGTTCCAGTAGACAATATTATTCATAAGTGAGAGTTGCATAAGTGAAAATACAACCATGGCAGCAAAGTATGAGATAGAGAAGTTCAACGGGAACAGTACAATTGCCTTGATGCAATTGAAAGAAGACCCGCAGAAATGACGGATCAGAAGTGTAAGGAAATTTGCATTTAGCAATGACAGATTCCGTACTATCCAGTGTTGTGGAAAAGAATATAGCAAAGGAGATTTGGGATGCCCTCATCAAATTATATGAGGTGAAGTCTCTTCATACAAGGATATTCTTGAAGCGGAAACTCTACATTCTTCGAACGAGTGAGTCCACATCGATGACGGATCACATCAATCATTTAAACATCTTATTTGCCCAATTATCAATAGCAGATTTTAACATAATTGAAAATGAGCATGCGGAACTTCTACTTCAGAGCCTACCAGACTCATACGATCAACTCATCATCAACATAACAAATACTAATATGGAAGGAAATCTACGCTTTGAGGATGTTGTTGGAGCTACTCTAGAAGAAGAATCCAGACGCAAGAATAAGGTAGATAGATTGAAAAATTCCAAGCAAGCAGAGGCTTTGACGATGATGAGAGGAAGATCAACAGAGCGTGGCTCCAGTGGGAGTCAAAATCATGGTAGATCAAAATCTCGAGGAAGGAAGAATTTCAAATGTTACTATTGTGGCATGAGAGGACACTTGAAGAAAGATTGTTGGAAGAAGAAAAATGCAGAGAAGTCTTATGTGCTAGTACCTCTAATGATGGAGAAATCCTGTATAGCGAAACAGCTATTGGTTCCAAAGGTGAAAAGCAGCTCACTGATGTTTGGATAATAGATTCGGGAGCAACATGACACATAACTTCACGAAGAGATTAGTTTTGCACTTATAAACCTATCTTAAAGGGATTTGTGTTCATGGGTAATGATCACGCCTTGAAAATTGTTGGAATCGGTACTGTCAAATTGAAAATGTACAATGGTACTATTCGCACAATTCAAGGGGTACGACATGGGAAGGGCTTGAGAAAGAATTTATTGTCTATTGGACAATTGGATGACCTCGGTTACAAGACCCATATTGAAGGTGAGATCTTGAAAGTAGTAAAAGGTGCTCTAGTAGTGATGAAAGCAGAGAAAGTTGTTGCAAACTTATACATGCTTCTGGGAGATACGTTACAAGAGGCAGATGTATCAGTTGCATCGGCTAGTCAAGAGGAATCAACAACAATGTGGCATCGTAGACTAGGTCATATGTCAGAACGAGGCTTGAAGGTCCTTGCGGAACGTAAACTCTTACCCGGGCTCACATCGGTAAGCTTACCTTTCTGTGAGCACTGTGTGACAAGCAAATAACATAGATTGAAATTTGAAAAGTCAACTACTAGAAGCAAACACATACTTGACTTGATACATTCTGATGTGTGGGAGTCACCGGAAATGTTCCTAGGAGGAGCTAAATATTTTGTATCATTTATTGATGATTACTCTAAGAGATTGTGGGTGGTACCCAATTAAGAAAAAGTCAGATGTGTTTCCAGTTTTCAAGGAATTCAAAGCACAAGTGGAGCTTGAAACTGAGAAGAAGATCAAGTGCTTAAGGACAGACAATGGAAGAGAATATACAGATGGTGAGTTTCTGGCATTCTGCAAGCAGGAGGGTATAAGGAGGCAATTCACGGTTGCTCATACACCTCAGCAAAATGGTGTAGCAGAGCGGATGAATAGAACTCTCTTAGAAAGGACTAGAGCTATCTTGCGAACTGTAAGATTAGCCAAGTCTTTTTGGGTAGAAGCAGTGAAGACAACTTGTTACGTGATAAATCGATCCCCATCAACTGTGATTGGTTTAAAGACACCTATGGAGATGTGGAAAGGAAAGTCAGCAGAGTACTCTTCTCTACATGTGTTTGGATGTCCTGTGTACGTAATGTACAACTCCCAAGAAAGAACAAAATTGGATCCAAAATCTAGAAAATGCATATTCTTGGGCTATGTTGACGGAGTTAAGGGGTATCGCCTGTGGGATCCCACTGTCCGCAAGGTTATTGTCAGCAGAGACGTAATCTTTGCAGAGAATGAACTGCAAAATGAACAGGTAAATGACAGCACTTCTAAAGATGTTACTACTGTACAAATAGATGGAAAGTCTGAAGAAGAAGATTCTTTAGAAGCAGAACCAGAGCATGAGGAACAAGAACCAGAAGAGGTCAATGATACAGAAGTTCGACGAATAACACGTCAGATAAGGAGACCATCTTGGCACTCAAACTATGTAATGGCAAGTCATAATGCATATTGTCTTCTAACAGAAGAGGGAGAACCGTCAACCTTTCAGGAGGCTGTGAGTAATTCAGATGCTTCTCTGTGGATGACAGCAATGCAAGAAGAAATAAAAGTCTTACACAAAAACAAGACATGGGAGCTTGTTGCACTTCCACAAGGTCGAAAATCCATCGGCAACAAATGGGTTTATAAGATCAAACGTGATGGTAATGATCAAGTGGAACGATATCGTGCAAGACTGGTAGTAAAAGGGTATGCTCAAAAGGAAGACATTGATTTCAATGAGATATTCTCTCCGGTGGTTAGACTTACCACTATCATAGTAGTGTTGGCTATGTGTGCTGCATTTGACTTACATCTTGAACAATTGGATATAAAGACTGCTTTTCTTCATGGAGAACTTGAAGAAGAAATTTATATGCTCCAACCAGAAGGCTTTGAAGAACAAGGAAAAGAAAACTTGGTTTGTAGGTTGACCAAATCTTTGTACGGTTTAAAGCAGGCGCCAAGGTGTTGGTACAAGAGATTTGATTCCTTCATTATTAGCCTCAGATACAACAGGCTGAGTTTAGACCATTGTACATATTACAAGAGGTTTGATGATAATGATTTCATCATTTTGCTGTTGTATGTGGATGACAAGTTGGTGGTAGGCCCCAACAAAAATCGAGTCCAAGAATTGAAGGCACAGTTGGCTAAGGAATTTGATATGAAGGACTTGGGACTCGCAAACAAAATTTTAGGGATGCAAATTCACCGAGACAAAAATGATAGGAAGATTTGACTCTCTCAACATGCAAGATTGTAAGTCAATCTTTACCCCATTGCCTATCAAATATAAATTATCCTCAGATATGTGTCCTAGCAGTGGAGCAGAGAGGATGGAAATGTCTCGAGTGCCGTATGCATCGACGGTGGGAAGTCTTATGTATGCTATGATTTGTACGAGACCAGATATTGCACAAGCAGTTCAGACGATTAGTTTATTTATGGCAAATCTTGATAGAGAGCATTGGAATGCTGGGAAAAGGATCCTAAGATACATTAAAGGAACCTCAAATGCTGCATTATGTTTTGAAGGATGAGAGTTTATTGTCAGAGGATATGTTGATTCAGATTTTAAAGGTGATCTTGATAAAAGAAAATCTACTACAGGATATGTGTTTACACTTGCAAGTGGAGCGGTAAGTTGGCTATCTAAACTGCAAACTGTTGTAGCCTTATCTACTACAGAGGCGGAGTACATGGAAGCTACCCAGGCATGCAAGAAAGCAATTTGGATTCAAAGGTTATATGGAGAACTCGAACACAAGCAACAGAAGATCAATGTGTATTGTGACAGTCAGAGTGTCTTGCACATTACAAGGAATCCAGCTTTTCATTCCAGAACAAAACACATAGGAGTACAATATCATTTTGTCAGATAAGTAGTAAAGGAAGGGAGTGTGGATATGCAGAAGATTCATACCAAAGATAACCTAGCAGATGCCTTGACAAAACCAGTAAATACTGATAAGTTTATACAAAGTCGATCATGTTATGGCCTATTGAAAGCATAAGCGACATAGATGGAAAAGATAATCATGATGTGAAGATTTGATTAATTTCATCAAAAATTGAGAGATTGTGAGAACAAAATCCCACATTCGTGGGTACTTCAAAGGGGTATGGATGAGTGGTTATATAAGAAACCACATACCCCCATTCTATCCATCCCAAATTTTCTTTTTTTCTCTAGTATTAAAAAGGATTGTCATTCTTAGGACTAGAGAAGGGGTGTGTAATTTTTCTTCCTATTATAAAATTTCTACTTTTGTCTATTATTGTTATTCAATTTTTCTCTTTTCTATTTTAGTTGAGTTCTTATAAAAGTAGTCTGGTACCTAATGGATACATATCGGTACAAATTCGCTTTCAATTTATACTTTATTGTTTGATAATTAAAATTAGTTACATATTGCGAATTTTATGTGAGTGTGGCAAATAAGTTGTGTCCATCTTCCCCTCCCTTTGTTAGATTATGAGTATGAGTAGGGATGGCAAAGCTAGCTAGGCCCGATGGCCGAGCCCGCCAACCCGCCATAATATGGCTGGACGGTTGGTGTTTTCAGCCCACCAGCTCGCTATGGCCCGTCCCGCCAACCCGTCGAGCTAACCTCGGGATCTGGCGTGCCTGCCACGCGCACTGCCTAATTAATAAAAAATAATATTTTATTGTAATAAAATAAATTATAAAGATAATATATAAAGTTAAAAATTTTAAAAAGAGAATTAAAAAAGTTTCATTCTCACGAGAAAATATTCTCCTTCCTAAAATATAACCTTATCTCTTGTTCTCCTTATTTATCCTAAGTATCGATTATATTTATCCTTATTACTTGAATTAAAGGTATAAGAATTACTCAACCAAGAATAATATGAAGTTTTATCAAATAAAAAAGATATAGGTATTTGAATTTTTCAATATAAAAAATATAAATTTTATAAGTTTAACGTTATTTATATATATATATATATATATATATATATATTTGTTATTATTTATTATTATGTAAATTTTATTATTGTTCTAAATTATAATTTCTTAAAATAATGTATTAATTTATATTATTAAA